CTCTGACGTCCTTAAGCATTTTACTTCTTTTGGGGGTGGGGGGGGGAGCTATGTCTGCTCTTGATCACTGTTGCCTGCAGGGATAGGGGAAATGAAGTGAGAGTTTTCTTTATGTTTCATGTTAAAGATGATTATTGTAATGGAAGGAGGAATATAAAGATTTTTATTTTGTCTCTGCATTCTCTTGGAACCTCATCTCTGGTAGTAGGAGGTCTGACTATGACTGCTTTTGGCTAGGCTGCTGTTTGGGTGTTTGGCACTGAGAAATGTATCCCTTGGAGACTTTGTAGGGTAAGGAGAAGACAAATGCCAAGTGGCCACTGGATGAACCTCTGGAAAAATGGCTTCTGGCATGGGGCTACTTGATCAAAGTAAAGTTGCTGCTTCTGCAGCTCCCTTCACCACAACAGAGCTTGGTGGGAACCTGACTTCAGCATAGCCATGTAGACTGCCTTGATAATCATGCACAATGCCCAGGAAAAAGTCATATCAAATAAGGCCTGGTCTTGATCATGGATAGTGGCCAAGAGGGAGCTGGAGCTAGCTCTGTACTCCCAGAATGCCAGCCAAAGCTCTCTGAGTCCCATAACCTTGTTCACAGGGAAAGACTGAGACGGCAGGAGGGACAGGAAACCCTGGCCACAGCCTGCAAGACCACTGTTCTAATTTCCAAGCATAACATTTCTATCCCTCTGTCCTCTGAAGGGGCCATCATAGTCTTGTGACTGCAGAAGGATGGAGCCATACTCCACCGAGTAGTAGACAGAGAACTGTAACTCTGAGGTGTGAGTTGCTCTGAGGGGAGGTCCTGCTACTAGAATTTTCTTCTCTGTAAAGATCCACCTACCTGTACATGGAAGGACAATTGAGCAGCTATTAGTTCTGGACTAGGGCAGTCATTATTTTTGTCCATTCACTTTGCAGAATCCTGTATAAAGAGATTTAGCCTCCATTCCAAGAAGAAGTTTGCAAAGATTTCTAACCTTCATTGTGAAGTGGAGACAAAACTGTTTAGGGTGTCAACACTTACTATCTGTCTGATCAGTCTGAAAAGGACAAAAGGTAATGAAAGAATATTAAGGTCAGACAGAAAAACAGCACTGTTTCACTTGTACATTAGTTGTAGTGGCAAGAAGTACATTTTAATACCCTTGTTTAATGGGTGAGTCTTTCTCTGCCTTCCTCTTGAACTGGAAGCTAAGGTGCTTGTGAATAATTGGTGCGTCTTCCTTCAGCTGGAAGAAAATTGGAGCTAAAACAGATCTCCTGTTTGTCTTGACAAAATGTGGCAAGATAAATAAAAGAAATTCTGCTAAAGAATTAAATATTTTAATTGCCTTACAGCATACACCTCTACCCCAATATAACGCTGTCCTCGGGAGCCAAAAAATCTACCGCTTTATAGGTGAAACTGCATTATATCAAACTTGCTTTGATCCACTGGAGCACGCAGCCCCCCCCCCCCAAAGCTGCTTTACCGCGTTATATCCGAATTCGTGTTATATTGGGTCGCGTTATATTGGGATAGAAGTGTATTTAAACATTGCATGGAATATGAGAAAGTGGATGAGCTTTAGGAAGTACTAAAATTAGAAATGAAAATAATGGATTGTTCTTGGTGGGTTATGATAGATCACCAGCTATTCTGGAAGCACTGTAATACAAGTAGAAGGGCACACTCTAGTTACCTTGAAGCAAAACCACTTCAAGTCCAATGGGCAAAATAAATGCTTATTCCATGGCCTCATACTACATCATTTTGGAACAGATATCAGTTCCATCTGTGACATATCTGACTTACCATACATCAGTCACAGCAACGGTTGAACAGGAAGAAATATTACATGATGGGTCTGGACAGTTTTGTCTGTAATGCACAAAGTTCCCAGCTATTATTAACTTTGTCATGAAGAGATTCACCTTCAAAGTAGAGACCCATTCTACTAATTGTTGTACCTACTTTGTGCCTTTTGACTGTAGCAACCCAGGAAATTGTGAGCCTATGCACCAAATTATTATGGTTCTAACCATAATGCACTAAAAATACCAGAAATCTGCATTTAACACAGATTCTTCCCTGCAGAAGCCAGTGCAAGCTCTCAAAACGTGGTTTGTCAAGCCTTACTTGAACTTCTGTAATGTAGAAGCCAGACAGTTTTTAATTAACTGACCTTTATATAGCCAGGACAGAAAGAGATTCAGAATTCATAGCAACATGAACAATGACATTTTTAGATGATGTTTGCTACCAAGTGGAAGAGGTGGAAGTGAGTATGGTAATTTCCTGTTTTAAAATCTGCGGATTTAAAATAAAATAAAATAAACCAGAGGAAAGTGTTGGGTGCTTATTTGATCCCTGAGAATTCTGAATACATATTTTATTTTAAATCACTGAAAATCTTACTCTTTTTTAGATTAACATTCATCAACCATGTAACTATATGATCCATGCAGATACGTCAGCTAACGGACTCAGTCTCTGAAATGTCTGTACACTATCAGTCGTTAAGAGAGAAAGAGGGAGTTTATTGAGGTTGTTACACTATCAGTTCCCACTCTGCTATCAGAAACACTGCTATGGAATATAATTACAGAATTAATGGGGATTATAATTATATACAGTGTATTTGCTGTTACTGTCACTAGCAGCAATTCCCACACTCTTATACAATTTAATCAAGAGTAATTGTTGTACCACCGAAAACTCATGCATATTCTTAAACATACAGGCCACGTCACTTACTATCCAAGATGCAGCTGTATGTCCACAACTGAAATGCAGGGTAGGTTCACTTATGGAACTACAGACCTTAGGATCAATTCCTCTGCTATACTGACTAGTTTATTGTTCATGTTCTGAAATTTCCACTGCCAGATACAAAAGGTAAAACTGAGATAATTTCCTCTGGAAATCTCCATATGTGTTGATACTGGTTCCTTCTACATTTTGCTTTTCACAGTAGAACTGCCGGATGTGGTTATGCTTTTCTGTTTGTTTTTTGACCCTGCAAATCATTTTTATCATGTAAGATTCTGTAGGTTACAAGGGTCTGAGCACCCCTAATATTCTAGCCCTTACTAATTTTTTTTATGTTCACTCTTGTAAGATTTGTCATCTCTTTTGATCCCCTAACCCACTCCCACTCACATTCCATATTAGAATGAAGCTAATTGACACAGGCTTTGCACATCTTAGCTTTGGCTTAACTTTCTACTCTAGTGTGTTTCTGTTTTGCTCCAGCTCCCTTTCCTCCATCCAAACTGTATGCCTAACTGCCCTTTTGCTTCTTTCATGCTTCTCATGTCTGTCCCTTGTTCTATGCTGTCCTCCACCAGTGGGCACCTCTGTTGCTGACCTATTCCATCATGCCTCCATCCCCTTCAAGTTTCTCCATAAAACACACTTTTTTCAAATTACCTATACACCAGAGTTTAAATTTTTAAACTCCCTTCAAAGTAATTTAATTTTTTTAAATTGGGAAACCTTAAAAATATATACATTACTAACAAAGCACCCACATGCTCTCACCATTGTAGGCTCTGTCCTCCCTTCCTCCTATGCCCCATAGGATTGGTTACAATCTCGTGATACTTTCCCTTGAAGAAAACCAGAAATCTGGAGTTCTAGTTGTCTCAAGTTAGTTTATCTTGTCAATGTAGTCGGCTAGGGCTCACCTACACTAGAACTGTCAGACAAGTTTTATATGAGGTGTCAAACGATAATCAGCAACACCCATTTTAGGGACACAGGACTGGAAGGGACCTCCTGGGTCATCAAGTCCAGTCCCCTGCTATGACAGGCAACCCAATCATATAATCTCATTCATAAGCTTACCAAGTTCCATCTTAAAATCAGTTAGGTTGTTTATCCCCACTATTCCTACTGGGGGCTGTTCTAGATCTCCACTTTTCTGGTGCTTAGAAACCTTCCTCTAATTTCCAGCCTAAATTTATTCACCGTCAGTTTATAAACACTTGTTCTTATAAGAATTAACTTTTAGTTTAAATAGCACGTCTACCTTTCTGGTGTTTACTTCCCAGATATATTTATAGAGCGCAATCATATCCACTCAGAGCCTTCATTTTGCTAAGCTAGGCTTTTAGTGTTGATTCCCTATGAGAAAAAAGGAGTCAACTACAGTTGATCATGTATAGACCAGTGGACAATGAGGATTGACAGCAGTTTATGTAGATGAGGGGCTGTGTTTTACAGCTGTGGCTGAACATGTCTGAAAATTCTAGTGTACAAGCAGCCTAGAAGAGTCACCACATTGATATTAGGCTCTGAACTTCATTTGAGACCTTGTAAGTATGATGTGATATGAAAAAATGGAAGTTTGTAATGTACTACAGCCAGAATTGCTGCAACAGGGTTCTGTGCTGAATGGAGAGAAAGAAATGCTCTTGAGTCTGGATAAGACTTTTCACATGCACAACTGTGTATGTATCAAAACTCCTAATATGAGTTTGCAAATCTGTGCACCTGAAAATCCGCCCCCTGTGTCTTCACCATCACTTATTACCAATGGTTCAGTTCCTTTAGTTTACCCAGTAAGATGGCTTTCCAGGAGCAGCTATAACAAGCTACCCATTTCTCACTGTAGGGAGCAAGAGAGATTACATGGCAGGACCTGACACATCTCACACCAATCAGTGTGAAACATGGCCAACTTGCCACCATGGTTTGATGTTTTCCAGATTGCTGTGTTTATTGCATAACCAAAAATCAGCTCTAAGTTTCCAGAATGGTTGGTGTTGATAAAGCTACCCTTGGTTGTTCCTGATAGTTACAAAACAATACAAAATATTAAAGCACAGAGTTTGAGAGTGGCAAATAGCCCAGTGGAAATGACACAAAGAAGTCTCTGAGCTGGATCAATCAGTTCTATCCCTTTCAAAGAAAAACCTTATTTTTAACATTCAACATTCACAACATTGCTCTCTCCCACAAAAACCCCAGACCTGGTTGATATGTTGCACTTTCTTCTGAACTGCCTTACCCGAAGGAAGAAGGGGAATTTCCGGCCATAAAAACCAACTCTGAAAAACTCAGGTTCCAAGCGCTGCTGTTCCATGATATTATCATAATAGGTAGCTTCCATTTTCTGTGGACGGAAAAAGCAGTTGATATCTAACTCAAAGTTTCTGCTACTGTTTCAGAATCTCAATCAACATTAGAACCTCATAATAATACTTTGCATTTACGTAGTGCCTGTTATGTAAGGATTTCAAAACACTTAAACATTACAGTAATTAAACAAAACTCCTGGGAAAATTTAATTATGGGTAAATTTAATTATCCCCATTTTACATTAAATTAAATTTTATTGGAGTTACTCATACAAATTTAAGAAAGTGATTTGTTCAGGGTTTCAGAATTAGTTAGTGGCAAAAATTGGATTAAAGTCTAGATCTCCTGAATCCCAGTCTCCTCTTTTAACCATATTCTCTCCCACAGATTAAACAGTGAACCAAAGGGCATGAAAGGGCAGGAAGTGGAGATGGTCTAGACTATCTGGAATTCTGGACATCCATAAGTTTAACAAGAGGAAGGAAAAAAATTATTTGGGGGAAGATACTTATAGTATGCTGGCCTGTGCCAAAAGCAGGCTCTCAGACCCCATTGTCCAGCTGGGCCACATCAACTCAAAGCTCAAAAAGGCTCACAGGTAGTTCACTATTAACCGTGGTGACTTTTTTGGAGAGAGAAATCCAGTTTGGAGTCCTAGTCTCCAGTGCAGGGGACCTAATCGCAACTTTGGCCCAGACAGACTCTGAGTCAAGTTTCTTGATACCTGCATACATTAACCCTTCTTCTGAAAAAGGGGCTTTAGCCTCAAAACATTACAGGTAGAATAAATGAACAAACAGAATGATGTGGAAATAGAATGAAGGAGCAAGACAGAAACTGGGGAAAAAAAAGAAGACGGGGAGAAACTCATCAAAGAAACGCATGTCTAATACAGATTTAGGAAACCGGAACAAAAAACAGATTTTTTTTAACAGAAGAGATGAGAATAAGAATCAGATGAATGGCTGTTACCCACCAGTCAAGATTTTTTCACCTGACTGATTAAATCCAACCAATGAAGAAACAGCTATAACAACTAATTTACTGATGCAGTTTTAGGATAATGATACAATACTGAATTGAGCTTCATCATTAGACAGGTGTGCTCATCAACCTGAGACTCAATTCACAAACAAACACATGGCACTTTTTATTTTAGGATAATACTTGATATTTTATGGACATAAACCAGGATGGATTAACCAGAGAGTTTAAAATTCTTATTAATGCCTTGGTTAAGATTTTTTGATAAAAGCTGCAATGACACAAATTCACCCTGACAATTAATTACTTGCTTTTATGAGAGAATCCACATGGTTGGCAGGAATACCATGAACTTCACTGTGCTTTGTATTCTATTTATCTCTCTTTATCTTCTCATAAGCCTAGACTGACATGTTACTCTTGCTGCACTTAGAATAAATTTAATATAATACCAGAGCACTGAGGGGGAGACCAATTTGGCCACCAATAAAGAAAATATATAAATAAATAAAATTTAATGCAGCAATACAAATATATATGTATGTATTTGTGCTTGTGAGCATAGTTCATATTTATATATTTAACAGTTGTCCATATATTTATTGGTAATTACAGCTGGCAGGATCAAAAGTTACTTCAATGAGCCTATTTGGGACAGTTATGTCTATTTGTTAGTAAAGGTTGCAGGAACAGATCTGTAATCTTGGCAGAGGGGGGAAAATGACATACTTAGAAAGTAACCATCCTAACTGTGTGAGGAACAGTATGTTTGTTTTTTAATTCAGACTTCTCTGACATTTCAGCAGTAATCACTAAGAAATGGATAAAGAGTTTGGAGGGAGAAGGGCTGGTTTCACTTACCCGAATCCAGCTGAGGCTTTGATAATCATACAGACTTTCATATTGAATGGCCAGCTCTCTGCACAGTGGGATTCCAAACTCCCAGCTCTGCAAAAGCAAACCAGACTCAGACCAACTGGGATTCTCAGCCACAACTAAAGCTCTTAACAGTTAAGAATAGGGAACTGCATTTTTGGGGAATTCATTAGAGATTAAAACCCAAGGAGCAAATAGGCAAGGAGACCTTGTTCTGGAGGGCAGAATGTCCACCAGGGAATGTTGCATCTCCTGAATATCCTTCAGTGGAATTTAGAGGGATTCAGCCAGTTTTTTCATTAGGTTCTAAATAGCCCTGAAATCATCCTATAGAAGGGTGGTGCTGACATCATCACCTCATGGAAAGAGAAGGATTTTTATGATGGGGGTGTCTCCTCCTCAGCTGCTGGCTCCTGTCCCTCCTGAGTCTCCTCCTGGACAGGGGAAAGGAGCAGTATAGCTGACTGAACTTGTAGAACCAGAGGCCACCGTGATACTGGTGGGTACTCTTAGTGAGGTCTCTTATGAGAGGGTACTCTATAAATCTGGTCTCCATAGGGAGTCCAAGGTTTCCCATAGGCCCACTGTGGTGGTGGGTAAGGAAAGGGTCCTGAGAGATGCTCTTGCCAGGAGTGTCCGCTAGGCTCTGGCATGTCCTCCTTGGGAAACAGCTCCAAAGGTGTGGGATGTTATGGAAGGGAGGCAGAGCCCTGCACAGAAATCTCAGAATCTGAGGTGGTATCATTCCCCCCATGTCCAGTAGAGGGGCTCCAGGCATTGATTCTGGGAAGTGATACTGGAAGTTGGGTCAGTACTGGAGGTCGGGGTCCTGCTCCAGAGAAAGGAGGGTTGTTCACTGGCTGGTGTAATGGTACTGGGAAAGAACCTCTCTCAGTGCCCCTTAAGAGGGGAGATTCCAGTTCTTCTGAGATGAGAAGATCCTCATAGGACAGGAACCTGGAGAGTAACAGCTGGTTAAGGTCGAGGACAGGAGGAGCCAGGGACATAGCTGATATCAGGGCCAGACCCAGTCCTGAAGAGACCATTGTCCCTGTGGTCTGAACTGATGCACACTGAGGAGGATGGTACTGAGGACAGACGGAAGCCAGTCTGAACGTTCTGTAACTGTGAGAAGGTAGCGATACTGATGTCTTAGAGGCAGCTTTTCTAGAGTTGTGTTTCTCAGCAACCGGTCTGTGGACTGGCACTGGTCCCTGAGATCTGCCTGACACAGTTTTGAAAGGCAGCAAGCCAATCCCTTGTATAAAAAAAGATTGAGAAACACTGTTCTAGAGTCCTTAATCTTAGATGAGTTACTGTGCCTGGAGGCTTCTGCTCCCAGTACTGAGGATGGGGCCTCTCATTGCTGTTTACTGGAAGATCTCTTGGAATGGGATGTCTTTTTGGGAGGTGCCGACTCTTGGGTACTAAGGCCCGCAGGCGCTTCAGCAGTACCTATAATACTGTGGTGGGCAAACTACGGCCCGCTCCTGGCTGCCCGCTCCTGGCTCCAGCCGGGGGTTGGGGGCCGCTCTGTGCGTGCATGCTGCAGCTCCGCACAGCTCCTGGAAGCAGCGGCATGTCCCCCCTCCAGCTCCTATGTTTAGGGGCACCCATTGGGAGCTGCAGGGGTGGTGCCTGCAGACAGGGCAGTGCGCAGAGATGCCTGACTGCACCTCAGCATAGGAGCCGGAGGGGGGACATGCTGCTGCTTCCAGGAACCTGCACCCCTGAGCCCTTTCTGCACCCCAACCCCTTGCTCAAGCCCTGATCCCCCTCCTGCCCTCAGAACCCTTCGATCCCAGCCTGGAGCATCCTCCTGCATCCCAAACCCCTCATCCCCAGCCCCACCCCAGAGCCCGCACCCCCAGCCAGAGCCCTCACTCCCCCATACCCCAACCTCTTGCCCCAGCCTGGAGCCCCCTCCTGCATCCTGACCTCCTCATTTCTGGCTCCACCCGAAAGCCCGCACCCTCAGCCAGAGCCCTCACCCCCTCCTGAGCCCAACCCCAATTTTGTGAGCATTCATGGCCCGCCATACAATTTCCATACCCAGATGTAGCCTCGGGCCAAAATGTTTGCCCACCCCTGCTATAATAGGAAGCGCGGTCTTCTTGAATCCAGCTTTAAGAGGTGACCTTACGCCTTCTGAAGTCTTTCTTAGGGGAATGGGATTTTCTCTTCTTTGAATGCTTTTTTCTGAAGCTGCCTTTACAGTTCAGGAAGTCACCGGTGAGGCCTGAGAGGCTAAGCCGATGAATGGAAGAGGATTTGGATCCCCCAGGCCTCAGGGATTGCTCATTAGGAGGAGCATCAATCTATCCTCCGTCAGTTTGCAAGATCTGCTTTTGAACCCTGTGCAGACCTTGCAATTTGATGGTTTATGTGACCCTCCAAGGCACCGGACACAGCTGGAGTGCTCGTCACTGAGGGGGAAAAGATCTGTGGCAGGTCTGGCAGGGTTTGAAACCTACAGCCCTTGGCACAAACCAGGTAGAGGGTGCCACAAGCAACAAAGAAAGCTTGAGGTGGGGGAGCTGCCCTGAAGCACAAACTTGTACTTCAAAACTAAAACTAAAATAAAAAACTGAAAACAAAACAAGAAGAACAAATACACCCCAGTGATCCGTCTCTAGCCAATGGCAGTTGAGAAGGAACTGGAGTGGCAATGGCTCTGCCCCTCCCTAGATGCCCTTGCACTGGAGCACCAGGTGTATAGTGCACAGGACAGACCTGTGGACACTGCTGATTAAAGCATCTGGTCAAGAGTGCACAAGTGCATACACATCCTATGGTGGAGCACCCATAGGGACAATAACTTGAAAGCCAGAACTTGCACAGGAATTGGACCTATACTGTTGAACTCATTGCCAAGGGACAGAACTATGACTGCTAACCTCAGTATGTTCAGAACTAAATGCAAAACTCATTTCTTCACCTTAGCCTTCCCTCATTGAGTTTTTCATACAGTATATCCACTGCCTCACAATGAAATTCTGGTGACTATTCAAATTTTTACTCCCACAGGCAGGAAAGAAAAGAGAGAAAGATTTTTTTGTTACTTCTTTTAAACTTTGGGAGATGCTCTGATACTACGATGATGAGGGCTTCATAAGTTGATGTCTCTCAGCCCTTGTCTATCTTGCCTATTTAGATTATAAGCTCTTTGGGCAGGGATTGCTTCTCATTGCTGGACTAACAACTACAGATAGTTAGATACTTCAATTGTTGCACATAGGAGAATACTACATTGAGAGCAACATTAATGTAAATATGGCAGTCAGAATCTGACCCTACCATTTTTTTAATAGTAACTAAGACCATGTCTACACTGCAATAAAACACCTGCAGCTAGCCACTGTCAGGTGACTTGGGCTTGTGGTGCGGGGATATAAAATTGCAGTATTAATATTCGGGTCTGAGTTGGAGCCCAGGCTCTGTGACCCTGCAAGGGGGAAGGGTCTCAGAGCCTGGGCTCCAGCCCGAGACCAGATATGTACACTGCAATTTTATAGCCCTTCAGCCTGAGCCCCTTGGGCTCAAGTCTGCTGACATGGGTCAGCCACAGGTGTTTTATTGCAGAGCAGACATTTCCTAAAATACCAGTAGTAATGCATTTGGATAACATTTTTCTTGTTATATGCACCTTTATTTAAAAAATGAACCTCCACACCACTTGATACAGTATATCATACCTCTCTTTATAAAGCCCTCCTAAATGTCTCCTCTACCATTTCTGGTCTCTCACCCTCAATACCACGGAAGACCTCTTTATAATACAACATGACGATTCTCCAAACAGGTTTATAGTAAGGGAGCACTATAGACACTTATATTTAGTTTCTTTTCAGTTCTCAAATAGATGATACATTCATTATATCCTTTTATTTAGGAAGTTTTAACAGGTTTACAAATCATTGTCATGTAAACAACAGAAACAAAACATTAGTTGTCACAAAACTGAGAGATGCTATATCTTTTATTTGAAGAAGCTCAAAACATGGTAAGTGAGACCTCAGGAACATTTAGAAAAGACAGCACAAATCCAAGAATTAAAAAAAACAAAAATAACCATCCTAAATTTCTCCAGCTTCTGTGAATGGCAAAAACTAATATAAGATTCTTTGCATCAGCTTTTTCAGGGTCTTTTTTGGTTGTTCTGGTAATATCTATAGCTTTAAATGATGAAAATCTTTTGCACTGAGGACATGAGTTATATTTAGATAGTCAATAACACAACAGGAAACCAGTTGCTTGGGTGCTCAGCATATCACTCAGGCTTTATGATCTCATATTAATAGCATCTTTGCTGTGGGTTTCCAATTCAAATGAACTGATACATTCTTATAGGCCAAAAATTTCTTTTTCAAACATTACGTGGTTAAGGGTTTATATTTGCAATCCAAATGGCATTTATTTTTTATTTATCACACAAACATTTTTAAACTTCAATGTATGGACCCTTTGCCTCCTCAGATATTCTGGATTTATCTAAAAGAACAGAACAGAAAAATGAATTCTAAAGTAGTTGGAAAGGAGTCAGAGTCATTTTCTGACTCCAGAGATGCACAGATACAACTGGGATGTTACGATTGAAGCTTATATGAATGTCTAATGTCTACTTTTAGGCGGAGGGTGAGAAAACCTGGATTTGTGCTGGAAATGGCCCAACTTGATGATCACTTTAGATAAGCTATTACCAGCAGGAGAGTGAGTTTGTGTGTGTATGGGGGTGGGGGGGGTGAGAAAACCTGGATTTGTGCTGGAAATGGCCCACCTTGATTATCATGCACATTGTAGGGAGAGTGGTCACTTTGGATAAACTATTACCAGCAGGAGAGTGAGTTTGTGTGTGTGGTTTTTGGAGGGGGGTGAGGGAGTGAGAGAACCTGGATTTGTGCAGGAAATGGCCCACCTTGATTATCATACACATTGTGAAGAGAGTGGTCACTTTGGATGGGCTATTGCCAGCAGGAGAGTGAGTTTGTGGGGGGGGAGGGGGGGAGGGTGAGAAAACCTGGATTTGTGCTGGAAATGGCCCAACTTGATGATCACTTTAGATAAGCTATTACCAGCAGGACAGTGGGGTGGGAGGAGGTATTGTTTCATGGTCTCTGTGTGTATATAATGTCTTCTGCAGTTTCCACGGTATGCATCTGATGAAGTGAGCTGTAGCTCACGAAAGGTCATGCTCAAATAAATTGGTTAGTCTCTAAGGTGCCACAAGTACTCCTTTTCTTTTTGCGAATACAGACTAACACGGCTGTTACTCTGAAACCTACTTTTAGATAGAGGACAGTGAAAAAATGGAAGCTATTCTTTTGACCTGACCCTATAGATGTCTTCCCCTCCTGCTTCCATGTTCCTTTTTTTCCTGTGATCTGAATGCTATTATAATTGTATCTCTGTTTTCATTATTTCTACCAGCTCTGTCAAATGTACTTTGATATTACACCTGTCATCCTAAATCAAGCTCTCTCTTTTGGTTAGATTTCAACAAGGATATATTCTACTGTACTGGGTGAACATTTTGTAGCTACAAATTGAGATACAAGGGAGGAAAACTCCAGGATATGACTACTGTCTCCATCTTTTACAGAATAAAGAAAGGGAGAAGGAGAGTGTAGATTTGAAAAGGATAGAGAGAGAATAAACAGACAACTGAAGTGTGGTGCTGTAATTCCAGTCAAAGATTCTGTCACACATGGAAGTGACCCTTGAAACATTAGATCCCCTTGATTAAAATCTATGACTTAAATGAGACCCATCTGTAATTTTATATAATACACAGATCTGAGTTCTAGCTGTAAGCCCTGTGCAAGTTTCTGTCCTCTCTTTTCCCCTCTCACCATGACTTATTCATCTGTCCCTGATCCTCCACTCACCTTGTGCCTGATCCGTTTTCACCTTCTACAGACTCCTTCACTTGCTGAGCATCTCTCATCTACCCCCTTATTACAACCTTGCTCTACAGTGCCAGCAGTTCTCCACTGATTGACACCAAACACGCTCAGGAGGCACTGATAAAGAAAATCTCAAAATTCACAATTGCAACATTTATTTACATGAGCTGTAGTGGATTTATGTGGCAGATTTTCAAAAGTGCTCAGCATGCACAATTGGGGGAAGATTTTCAGAAGACCTCAGAACTCAATATGCTGAGCTCTTTTGGAAACTTGGCTACTTATTTTGGTGCACAAATGTCAGCTGAGCTCCAGTTGTGGGTACTGGGCATTTGAACATGCGCTCTTTTGAAAATCTGGCTTTGTGCACCCCTGCTCAAAACAGTCAGGGAGAAGAATGTACACTGAGATGTCACAAATAGGATGGGCTTCATTAGGCTACTACATATCACTGATGATGGGGGCTAGCAGTGGACTTGATGCAAAATGCTGCTTAATTCTAAATCTCTATCAACCAAGAGAATGAATCAAATTTAGTCTGTTCCATTCACTGTCTTTAAACTAACAAAGTCTCAGTAGCTTCTAAAGTGCTGTCAATGAATATTTGGGTCTGAGAACAGCGAATAAAATCTCTTAAATCTTGATTTCCAACATAAAGGTTACATTTCTGACCCTGGCTAACAACATAGCAATTAACTGTATGTTGTTCTTCCTCAGGGAAGAACAAAAAATACAGAGAAAAGGACAAAAAATGTCTGCCAGCAAGAAGCTGGTGACTTTACTGAATTCACTTCTTCTTCCTCAAGCTCTGCTGCAACTGGAGAGGTTACAACCTGGAAGCTACTAGAATCATTGTCAAAGAATGCAGATAAGATGCAGTCAAGCCTAGATGAAGTATTTCAATACTGAGAAATAAGGCGGAATCACTAGAATTCTCATTTACTGAGAGCAAGTTGAAATCCTCAAATGTGAAAATGATACACAAGGCATTTAATAAGATAAAATGGTGACTGAGATCCTTGAGATTTAAAAAAATCTGTTAAAACAAGGTTTTTGCACAAATTACAGATTAGACAAAGAAAATCAAGCCAGTGCCTAAAATCTTAGCACTACTGGCTTCTTGAGATACAAACCCATTAAGGACAGAGAGGAAGTGATGGAACAAAAAACATCTTTTCTGCAGTCTGGGTGGGTGTTAATGTGGCTTTAAGCCACCTTCATGCCTTTCCAATTCTGGGTAGCTCCATGGGCTGAAGTGGCTCCTGACATAACTTAGACAGTCATGTAGGGGCTGTCTAAATTATGGCAGCCTGTCCTTGGCTGCTTATGGGCAGCAGCACCACCCACAATCACTTAGTGCTATGGCCCTGCCCTGAAACACCTCTCCTGTCCTCAGCCCAACCCTGGCATGCCCTTCTTGTCAATGGTTGCAAGGGGGTTCTCAGAAAACAGGCCACAGTTCTTGTCTTCCTCAATTTCTGTGCTGGAGGAATTCTCCCCCGGCTGTATTCAGGGGTTTTAGATCCCCTTTATGCTACTGCAGACCTTTTACACAGTGTTAAGAGGCTAGAACGGGGTGATAATCTCACCCCAAGAATATTGCTAAGGAAACCCTTATAAAGGACAGACAGAACAAATTACGGTAAGCAGCACAATAGCAGCCACTGGTTGTAGAGACAGAGAAAGGCTTCTTCTTGCAGCCCAGAAAAAAAGAGCTAACAGAAATTGATAGCTGCAAAATTCTGCTGTTCCCTGACCTGAGCCCTGCTACACAGCAATGGAAAAATGTACTGTGTCAAATGTAATGTGTCAAAAGGATTTTGCTGCTCAAGGCATTTCAGTTTTACTCCTGTTTCTAGCAAAACTAAGCTACATACTCAGGAAAAAAATACTTGTTTTGGGAGGCTAATTCAGTGATTCAGTTACTGTCTAAGGTAAAAGGAAGCAATCATACAGGAGACAACCCCATAAATGTCCATCTGGAAGAACACTAGAAGCCTAATAGTACAAGAACCAGTAGTACTTTTGTTATATTGTCTCATACGATTGATAATGTGTCAAACAAGACCTTACGAACCTTTAATAGTTACAGAATACACTATTTTATATATATGCTCTCTGTACTCTTTGCCTAATCAGGTAGTCCTGAGATACTAGCTGAAGTTGATAAATCTGTGGAATGTAGTTGGCTAAATACTGAGAATATCTGAAGCTTTATAGAGGGGGTGATAGCCAGTTTTACTACACAAGAACACTACCCTGAGAACAAAGTATTTCTTTGTTAATGTAACAAATTCCTTGTAAATATGCCACTCCCTTCCCCCAGTAAATTGAGGATAGATTTTTTCCATTATAGCTACATGCAGTACGTGTCTTTACCAAAGAACATAGAATCATAGAATATCAGGGTTGGAAGAGACCTCAGGAGGTCACCTAGTCCAACCCCCTGCTCAAAGCAGGACCAACCCCAACTAAATCAACCAACAGCTCCTTCATTGACTGTGGCCAATGTGGGATTAATTAAATATTAATCCCATTCTCTGTATGGTGCAGTGGTGTTTGTGCTTTATGCTGCAGCCACTGCCCTCCTGGGTGAAAAAAAAACCCCAGCAACAAAAAATCCTAAAAACTCAGGGAATTCTACTAGTCTTGCCCTATGGAGGAGTTTTTAGAGAATGGAGATAATGTAGACAAGGGGATAATCTGGTCTTTAATTTTTACAAAATTGTATAAATACCTTCTAAATCTAACCTAATGAAACCATCCTGAAGTATCATAACATAAGGGATCATAGCTCATTACATAGATCACTACAGTAGTTTTAAAATTTGTTTATTTACTGTGGGAAAGATAAGTCAAATAAGTGACATTTGCAAGTTGCTGCATTTTGTTCCGAGTCAGTGAATGGATAATGGAGTCCAATTGGAACCCCAAACCTGTGAGTAAAACAGCTGAGGTGAGGAGGATTAGTCTTTATTTTTCAGTGCCACTTAAATTCCACTGACCATTCATATTTAACCCTGCAGGTCAGAAAACAACCAAATCTTAACATGAATCACAATACATATAAATGGAAATTTTCAGAGCTTTCTACAAAGAGAGACTTTTTAGAAATGAAGCAACCGAAACTCACACAGTTCTTTATCAGTCCAGCTGATTCAGAATTTGGATAGAAGATGCAGGAAGTTGCTGGATTCGTTTTTCTGGGTCTAACTCATCTAGTCCTGAGTTTTATGTTTATCCCCACTCATTTTCTCAGCTACTCTCTAGCTACCTGCTGTTTAGTCTACAATGCTGAAAGTCCACTTAGCATAAGATTTTTTAATATACTACTTAATTGAAAAGATGGGTTGAGAGGGAAAAAAGCAAGTCAGGGAAATGGAGGGAAGATGTGGGAGGAGAGCAGTAGTTGGCATACCTTCCCTTTGTTGAAGTAGTGGATAATCTTCCGGCATAGCCCCTCCTTACGTTGCCACTCTGTCTGTGATGGGTAGTGCAGGAACTCTCGCAGAGGTCTGTCCTCCCACTGAAGTAGCTCACAGTACAGAAACAATGTAAATGCAGCCTCTGTTAGAACAGCAATCAATGAAGACTGAGTAAATTACTACAAATAAATACAATTAATGGGTTTGATTTGCATTTGGATTTGTCAAGCGAATCATGATCTGAAATTCACCTACAGAATAACCCAGTGGGGAACAAAGTGCTTGAAAACCAAGATCCCCTTCTGAAACATCTGAGAGATGGAAGCTACTTGGTCAGCGGATCAACAACTTCATGCTGCAGCATTACAAAGATGACATGTCCTGGGCATTCAGTGGAAAATGTGTTGGACTCCATTCCTGTCATCTGGCCAGGGAGCTAAAATGATGGGTTTTCACAACTGCTGTCTAACTGTTACACTTTCCTGGCTTTTTGATGAACGATCTCCGAAGTGGAAAAAGCACCTTACTAATGTTTGTACTTTCCCCTTCAAAGTCATCTTTCTGACTTCCTCCAAGTTCCCCAAAGTTGTGCAGATGTATATAATTTAAAAATAGATTCTCATCTTTCAACTGAGATATAAACATAGCAACATATCAGACTGCTAATGCTTTTATGATTCATTTTTCTATAGGTTTTCTCCCTCTCTTATAAACACTTCCTGAATAGGATACATGACTAACGTGGATTCTGCCAATACCGAATATTAGCAAAGGGCTACCATCCACAAGGTCCCTTCAACACTCTTCTTCCTTGAAGTATTGTTTCAAAAATCAACCTCTTCACCTGGTTTCTTAATTTACAAACTGGTCTGTTTCTTAAATGGCATCAAAGCAAGTTGATTAGTAATATGAAAAAACAGGGCTTCTAACTCTTCTAACTGCAGTAGCTTGATCTTCACAAAAATTCCTAGAAAAGTATTTGATGAATATTCAAGGAGAATGCTGGGAGACTCAATACTTCTGGCCTGGATTCTAACAGCAGACCCTGAAGAAAGCCTCCTCATTACTAACCAGTGTAGTTCTCAGCCTGTAAGTGCATGTCACACAGCTTGTGGATGTAGCGGATATACATCTCTTCCTTGTTAATTTCAGATTTATAAAAGTTCTGAAAAAGAGTTGAAAATTAATATTCAGAAACAATCTTGAGATACTCTGTCAGTGTAAAATAACCCCCTACTTCCAGGCAGCTAATAGAAGCTGCATATAATACGAAGAAAGTGCATTAATAATATGAAAGATTGGGCCCAATACTGGATTAATTTAAACGGGTGTAAATGAGGAGTAACTCCACTAACTTCAATGAAGTTATGCTGGATTTAACATGAGTGCAAAGGAGAAAAGAATCAGGCCCATTGTATCCATACAAATATCAGTATGAGAGAGCAAGGTACAAGAGAGTGAATGCCCACAAATATGTACTGGTGATTCATTCCCTCTGCACTCTAAAAATACTACTGCCATCTCTAGAATCTACAGAAAAGGAGATGTGAGTGGGGGGTGTTTGTACAGGATGAGATTAAAGAGGAGGAATGGAAAAGGATAAAATGCCTGTAGAAATATTCTTTGCTAAGAGAGGTTTCAGAGTAACAGCCGTGTTAGTCTGTATATGCAAAAAGAAAAGGAGTACTTGTGGCACCTTAGAGACTAACCAATTTATTTGAGCATAAGCTTTCGTGAGCTCATGAAAGCTTATGCTCAAATAAATTGGTTAGTCTCTAAGGTGCCACAAGTACTCCTTTTCTCTTTGCTAAGAGTCACACTTGCTCATCTGCTGTGCTCTCTTGCCTCCTGTCTCAATGGAACCATTTTACTACACACTACTGTAAATTCAAAATGGAAAAAGCCCTAAATTTTCAGCTGCAGGATGCTGAGACTATTAACCCTCTGCAGATCATCATACCTAAACCTTTCCATTCCAGATTAAAATACTGTGCACAGGATCATGATGTACAGGTCAATAAAATAAAAAAGAAAGTGTTCTTACCATCAGGTTAACAGTGCAGCCAATCTTCTTGTTTTCTGTTTCATCTCCTTTCATGCAGTCCCTGAAAAGAGAAACACTGTTGAGACATTTAGACTGCAAGAGTGTGTTCCTTAACTAAAGATGAAGCTGTTCTAGAATGCCAAAACAATAGTGAAGGCTAAAGTTTATTTTTAAAGCACCCCTCAAAAGAGACTTCATACAGTGTAGATCTAAAGAAGTTATTTAAGAAAGTTAGTCTTCAAATGAGCTTTATGTGTAAAGTTAATTTAGTGCCATTAAAAGGTTCTGGACTGAGTGCCGTAGAGACTGAGACCTTCCATTTACGCACACACAAGGTGCAGTATGAGCAGTGGCAGTGCCAGGTTCTTCAAAGTGCACCAACAACGTGCCACAGCCCTGATTTGGAAGAACCAGCTGTAAAGAGAGGAGTTCAATCTTCAGAGTTATTCAGACTTTGTCCTCTGCTGAGATGGTGTTGTTTATTGGCTCCCGTGCACTAGGAAAGGGACTGGGATTACTTCCTAATTTTAAAGGGAACCCTGAACAGGCATCAGATGATTATGGACTATAGTCACTTGAACTAAAGACCTATTGTAGAAGTGAAAAGCATGTTGGTGCAACACACTTGACATTTTGCTACCAGATTAATTTAAATTAAAAAATTGAGGATTGTAACTGAATTGAATAAGAAAATTAATACTACAATCAATATAGTAGATCCTGTGCTGTTTTAACAGTAAATTCAATTAAAATAGATGTCCCCATATTTTACATTTTCAGAATTTTGTTTTGATGAGTAACTGCACTGCAGAAGTTGTCAGGGGAGAAAAAAACGGTTACTCACCTCTCATAACTGTTCTTTGAGATGTGTTGCTCACATCCATCCCAATTAGGTGTGTGTGCGCTACGTGCACAGTCATCTAAAGGGACCTCAGGAGGTCATCTAGTCCAACCCCCTGCTCAAAGCAGGACCAATCCCCAACTAAATCATTCCAGCCAGGGCTTTGTCAAGCCTGACCTTAAAAACTTCTAAGGAAAGAGATTCCACCACCTCCCTAGGTAACGCATTCTAGTGTTTCACCTAGTGAAAATGTTTTTCCTAATATCCAACCTAAACCTCCCCCACTGCAACTTGAGACCATTACTCCTTGTTCTGTCATCTGCTACCACTGAGAACAGTCTAGATCCATCCTCTTTGGAACCCCCTTTCAGGTAGTTGAAAGCAGCTATCAAATCCCCCCCTCATTCTTCTCTTCCGCAGACTAAACAATCCCAGTGCCCTCAGCCGCTCCTCATAAGTCATGTGTTCCAGACCCCTAATCATTTTTGTTGCCCTCTGCAGGACGTTTTCCCCTTTTTCCACATCCTTCTTGTAGTGTGGGGCCCAAAAGTGGACACAGTACTCCAGATGAGGCCTCACCAATGTCGAATAGAGGGGAATGATCACGTCCCTCGATCCGCTGGCAATGTCCCTACTTATGCATCCCAAAATGCCATTGGCCTTCTTGGTAATAATGGCACACTGTTGACTCATATCCAGCTTCTTGTCCACTGTAACCCCTAGGTCCTTTTCTGCAGAACTGCTGCCGAGCCATTCGGTCCCTAGTCTGTAGCGGTGCATGGGATTCTTCCATCCTAAGTGCAGGACTCTGCACTTGTCCTTGTTGAACCTCATCAGATTTCTTTTAGCCCAATCCTCTAATCCTCTGTATCCTATCCCTACCCTCCAGCGTATCTACCTCTCCTCCCAATGTCGACCATTAGGTCCTCCGACTCCACCACCTCCTCGCCCTGCAGACCCATGTTGCACGCCATCTTGCGAAAGAGGTCATGGTGGGCACAGCTGTCTATGGGGGGCGGTCCAGAGACAGAAGTGCTTGCAACGGCCTCATCTGGGGAGGAGGACGAAGAGGCTAATCAGGGAACAGGGTCCTCCTGCTCGTCAGAGACCTCCTGTCCTGTCTCGCTGGCTGGACCAGGTAGACCAAGGTCCTGCTCAGGAACTGGAGTGGGTTCTGTGGGCGGGGCGGAGGGTGGGGGTGGGGTTGCGGGCACGGCACCTCCTCTGCACTGCTAGGGGTGGGGCCACTGACAGAAGCCTCCGGCACCTGTGGTTCAAAGGTGGCCAATCGGGATCCTTTAGATTGGGTGCCCTGCGCTTGGTGGTACACCCACGGCATCCAAAATGGCCACTGTGCTGGTCCTTGCCACTGAGTAGGCCCTGGCCTTGCCCCCACCTCACAGCATCCATGACCCAACCGGTGCCGACCCTGCTCTTAGTATCTAGATCCCGTCTCCGAGTAGAAGACTGGGATTGGGACCACAGTGGCCAGGGCAGTGCCGAGCAGAGCTGATCCTGCAAGCAGCGCTACACTGGGGAGCGGTGTTGCAATGCCGGAGAGTGGTGCTGCAAGGCTGGAGAGCAGTGCTGTGAGGTTGGAGAGCAGTGTCACGATCTGGAGCTGTGTGGGGTTGCTGAGTGGCACTGGGACTGGTGCTGGGAGTGGGACCTGCTGCGTAACGCGGATCGATGCATGGATCATCTTTGCAAACGGGAGTGCTGGCCGGTGGACCGGTGCCGCGAGTCTGAGCGGTGCTGTGATTGTGAGCGGCACCAGGACTCTGAGCAGTGCTGCAATTCTATCAGCGATGCCGAGCGACGGAGCATCGCCAGTTTGCCTCGAGACGGTGCCACTCGATGCGGTACCGAAGGCTTAGCCTTGGGTGTCTGCCAGCGTCCTTCTGCAGTGCCGCTTCAACCACTGTCGCCAGGGTGCTAAACACTGATGAACTTGGCGCCAGGTATTGCCGCACTGGTGGAGGCTGTGGTCTAAGTGCTGCCTCCACAAGGAGCTGCTTGAGGCAAAAATCTCACTCCTTTTTGGTTCTGGGGCGAAACCCCTTACAAATCCTGCACCTGTCGGCTTTAGACAAGCGTCGTGGGGTTACTCGTTGGTCTGGGCTTGCTGCAGGACTTGCAGGGCTTGAACCCCTCGGACTTGGGCATGTAAGCCCTCCCAAGGAAAAGCGGTCGGGATAGAGAGTAAACCCCCCAGCCCAAGTGCTAACTACTAACTACCAACTAAGAACTAACTAATAAGTACAGAGAACACAAACAAAGCTAGGGAAATGTGGTAGAACATGCTGAGCAAGTTCCAAAGACCGTCACTGTCACTAAGAAGGAACTGAGGAGGCGCCAGGTTGGCAGGGTCATATATTGAGCTCCATGAAGGCGCCACTCCAAGGGGCTCTACAGCCGACCCAATGGGCACTGCCAGGGGAAAAAACTTTCCAACAACTGTGCATGCGCACCTAATTGGAATTGATATGAGCAGTCACTCAAAGAAGAACTGGAGGTTTTGTCATGTGGGTGGGGACAACTGGGGCTTCTGGCACATGAGCACGGGAAATTATTTGAGATTGTTGAATAAACCACATTAGCCAAATGTTTCTGTTACAATGATCAGCAGCAAAACAGCTAATTATTAAACTGTTGTCTTTAAGTTCCAGAGATAACAGTCCACTGAGATGAATGGGACAGTTCACTACTGTTTAATTACATCTGTTTATGTTCTGTTCACACTTTCAAGATTTTCTTTACAACCTTTAAGGTTAGATTTTTTTTTTTAAATAAATGAAAGTTGAGATTCATGAATATGATCTGCTGCAAACTCCATGGTCACTGAGTCATGGAATACATAGGGTCCTGCTTTTAAGAAAGTCTCCCTTAGCTGAGTTAGACGGCATTGCGTTAGACTTTGATGAATCAGGGCCAAATATTCTAAGAAGAGAGCCACATTAATAACTTCCAACAGTTCTATAATCCTTTAGCCTCATCATCAAGTAAACTGAACACCAGTTTCTTCATTCTGACAATTTATCAAGAATGAACAAGAAGTAAATGAGAACGTGTGCCTCCACTATCTTAATTCAGAAACCAACAGTTCTGTGTAATGGTTGCTCTCACATTACTCCACAGCTCTGAATTAACTGATTGCTTCAAAACCAATACAAAACAGTTCTCTACACAAAAATAATTTGGTGCATTACTAATTCTGTACACCCTTCTTGCAGAATGCTAGAATACTTATACTCAGAACACTTTACTGTTGTAACCAGGTACCTGTAGTCAAGGAGACGCTCCATGAGGCGAGTAACTGATGTAACAAAAGAGACGCCAGTCTCCCGCCACGTCTCTTGTTCAATCTTCTCCAGCAGGCTGTTTGGAAATGAAGAGGCAGCATATGAGGCTTTCCTGGAAACGGTATAGATCCTGGAGAGAGCCAGGGGCAACTTTGTTTCTCTCTCATGCAGAAGACTGACAGAATTACAGTCTTACCTGGGGTAGGGCCCAAAGAGCTGGGTTCTACTCCATGCAGCATGAAGCAAAGACAAGAAAAGATGGAATTGGCAGCAAAAGGTAAAATTTCCCATCACAATGCTGCTTCAAACATAGGAAAGAGAACACTGCACGTAACAAAAATTGGTTCCCAAGCTGCTAATGGTAGCTGCTTATAGCAATGGAAAGCTATGACTGGGAAGGAGCCTAAACCCACAGTAACACATTTTATCCCCTCAGTTAAACTGTTAAATTCTGGTCTCTAATGAGCAATCCCAGTTCAACATCTTGCATCACAACTGTTATCAGAGATATCATCAGCTGCCGCAAGGGAAATACAGAACATTGTTCTTGCCAGGTAAATAAAAAGAAAAACAAATTTTCCATTATTTTCTTTTCAAAAGTATTTGCTATTTTTGCATGTACACTGATGGAGCCAAACTTTCAAAAAGTGGTTGCCATTTGTGTGCACTCAAATACAAGTGCATACTTTCTGAGTATTAACATAAAGGTGCACAGGTTATAGATTTACCTGTATACCCAAAATGATGGGTGTGCACAAGTAAATTCTATAATTTCCATGCAGAGGTGTCGGTGCACCAAAAATGCATGTAGATGTTTGTATACATCAAGCTGCATGCACATAAATGGAGACTGGATTGAGATCCTTTTGAAAATTTGCCCTGTATTCTGTTACTGATCTCAGAGGGACCACTGGATCAATTAAAGACTCAAGATTTAACTCAGTGGAGATTACAGAGTGGGTCACAATATATGCCTTCAAACCAAGATCAGCATCCACCAAGGGAGGCATTTGAAAATCAGACTTGGACACAGCTCAGCACCCGAGAACTAACCATGTGGGAGGGACAGATCTTGAGATTTCAGGTTAGCCTCCGACTATCATTATTGTTTCTTGGGTTGGAAGGGACTGGAAATGCTGTGCACTGATAGGCTTTGGAGGGAGCAGTTTCCAACCTTCAATTAATGTATGACCTTCAAGAGCAAGGTAAGCAAGGGGAGAAAATGGAGGGAAATTTTAAATGCCCCAAAACAGACTTGAACTGCTTGATTTTTTAGCTGGCCCTCTGAACAGTCTGAAGACTATGACTTCACACACTGATGTCACAATGCTGAGCACTGGCTTGTCTAGTGTGTCTGTGATAGGAACATGGACACCACTTGGCACACTGTATACTGTAACCTATGCAGCATCAATACTAGATTTTATTGCATGAAAGATACAAAAATATATTTTTATATTCTTGTCAGTGTAAAAGGGATGGCAAGCTTTTTCATAGCCCTCTCTCTGATTTGTGGCCAATGTCACGATAACCTGTTAGAAGTCCCTGTTCATTACTCTGTGTTCTGAGGGAGGCCACTTCCATTGCTGGTATTTTACAATGAATCATTACTTTGAAATTTTACCAAGCCTTCTAAAGGTGACCTTGTAACATGCAAGATGAAGGGAGAGTGGCATTGCTTACAGTAGGCTGAAGAGCTCCCTGTAGTTCTCATCTCCTTTTCCTTCTGATACCAAGCTGTCCAGCTTATCAATCAATTCAGCTTCCACCTGGATCAGGGAGAAATAATGGGTTAGAAGTTAACTGTGTTTGCAGAGAAGGTAAATTTCAAAAACGTTAAGAAGGCTGAGATTGTATTTTATGGATAATTTCTTATGTTCTGCAAGTTGCCAGATTTTACGGATGGATGATTTCTGCCCTGATATAAAAAAGCATCTGAAATAAAACAGACCCCTTTCAAATCTACAAAATAATGGCTCAGCGGATTCAGTGAAACAACTGGCCTCATATGGGTCAGTGGAAGAGATGGACTACAGAGCTCAATTATCCTCTTGCTGAGCAGAGGGGTAAAATGGGCTTCCCTGTGGAGATAGGCTTTTTGTTTCTTACAGGAGTTCTTGTCATCCATTTTCTTTGTTTTTATCAATACCTAGATCTGAACTTTCTATAAATGAATGTATCAAGTAGAATCTTACCCTGTCCTACCGGTCAGCAACCGAAAAAAAAATGGTTACCTACCTTTCGTAAAAGACAGTTACCTTTTCTGTAACTGGTGTTCTTCGAGATGTATTGCCCATGTCCATTCCATATTAGGTGTGTGTGCTCACCACATGCACTGGTGCTGGAAGTTTTTCCCTCAGTAGTATCCATAGGGGATCAGCTCTGGCCCCCTTTGGAGTGGTGTCTGCATGGGGCAGTATAACGGGCACCATCGGCTCCCCCAACCCTCAGTTCCTTCTTGCCGGAAACTTCGACAGTGGGGAAGGAGGGCGGGTCATGGAATGGACATAAGCAACACATTTCGAAGAACACCAGTTACGGAAAAGGTATCTTTCTTTTCTTCTTTGAGTGCTTCCTCATGTCTGTTCCACATTAGGTGACTCCCAAGCAGTACCCCTGGAGATGGGTAGAAGTTCACGGACGTGTAGATTGCAACACAGCTCTGCCAAACCCAGCATCGTCCCTGGCTTGCTGAGTGACGGCATAATGGGTGGTAAACGTGTGAACAGAGGACCACGCTGCAATTCTACAGATGTCCTGGATAGGGATGTGAGCCAGGAAGGCCGCCGAAAACGCCTGCACTCTCATTGAGTGGGCTCTGACAATCAGCGGCAGCAGAACACCTGCCAGGTCGTAAGAGGTCCTTATGCATGAGGTAATCCAATTGGAAATCCCCTGCGAGGACACACGGTGACCCTTCATCCTATCTGCTGTAGCGATGAAGAGTTGAGTCAATTTACGGAAAGGCTTGGTACATTCTAAGTAGAAAACCAAGGCCCTCAGGGCATGAAGATGCCTCTCTTCACTGGTTTTGTGCGGTTTGGGATAGAACGCTGGAGGAAGATGTCCTGGTTCATATAGTAGGTGGAGACTAACTTTGGCAGGAAGGCTGGGTAGGGCCACAAAGAACTTTATCTTTTTAGAAGACCATGTGTCATAAATATAAAGGGAAAGGTAAACACCTTTAAATCCCTCCTGGCCAGAGGAAAAACCCTTTCACCTGTAAAGGGTTAAGAAGCTAAGACAACCTCGCTGGCACCTGACCAAAATGACCAATGAGGAGACAAGATACTTTCAAAGCTGGAGGGGGGGGCCACAAAGGGTTCTCTCTGTCTGTGTGTTGTTTTTGCCGGGACCAGAGCAGGAATGCAGGTCAGAACTCCTGTAAAAAGTCAGTAAGCAATCTAGTTAAATATGCGTTAGATTCTGTTTTGTTTAAATGGCTGATAAAATAAGTTGTGCTGAATGGAACGTAGATTCTTGGTTTGGGTCTGTGTTCACCTGTGCAAATTGGTGAGGATTTTTATCAAGTCTTCCCCAGGAAAGGGGGTGTAGGGCTTGCGGGGATTTTGGGGGGAAAGACGTTTCCAAGTGGGCTCTTTCCCTGTTATATTTGTTAGACGCTTGGTGGTGGCAGAAATAAAGTTCAGGGACAAAAGGTAAAATAGTTTGTACCTTGGGGAAGTTTTAACCTAAGCTCGTAAAAATAAGCTAAGGGGTTTTTCATGCAGGTCCCCACATCTGTACTGAGATAGAACCCTTGTTCTAGTGCTCGAGAGGAACTTCTTCCATCGCACCCAGTCGTAGCAACCCCTTTTCCTCCTGCGTGAGGAGACTCTCATGAGAGGGGTCCCTGAAGAGGGATGGGGAAGGCGGGTGGGAAGGGGTGGGGGTAGAAAGGAACTGGAGGGTATAACCCTGTTCCACTATGCTGAGGACCCTTCCATCAGAGGTTATAGCTGTCCAGGCAGGTAGGAAGAGAGAAAGGTGGTTGGAGAACACTGGGAAAGATGGGTCTGGGGAATAATCTGTTAGGTCGCCCTTGGACGCACCCTCAAAATGACTGTTTGGCCCCCTGCTTATTATGGGTCGAGCCCGACTGGGCAGAGGGTGGAGGCGGGTGGCTCGGGCAGCACTTGTAGCCCTTGGCTCATTTATGGGGCTTGTCCTGCTGAGGCTGGCTCCCCTGGCCCTGCAGCTGCTCCAGTTTGAACCGCTTACGCGCCGGGGCTGGGACGTAGAGATCCAGGGTTTTCATGGTGTTGTGGGAGTCCTTGAGGCCATGCAATTTGCTGTTTGTTTGCTCTGCAAATAGGGTCCGGCCATCGAAGGGTAGGTCCTGCATAGACTGCTGGGCCTCGGTGGACAACCCGAAAGTTGTTACTACGGGCCAGTTGCCGGGAGGATCGTCCTGAGTAGGGCGACCTTCCTTTTGGAGATGGGCCATTATGGCCCGGTGATCAGCGGTATCTCGTGTTTGATTGGTCCTGGGATTGGTAACAAGCCCTTGGAGATAGTTGGGGCTGGTCCCGGAGTTCTTGCTGCGAGGCTTGTGCCTCAGAGGGTCTATGCCTATCTACCGGAGAGGTACGCCTCGAGTCCCTCGACCGGTGTTCCCTGTGTGGGGATTGCAGAAGGCTCTGCTGAGCCTGCCTCTCCAGTGCTGAGGCATGGCGGCTGCAGGCGGGCAAACACTGGCGGGATGTCCATCTCGATGGGGAATAGTACCGCTGAGGCAGGGACACACGCATAGATCCCAACTCGGGTTTTCCACAAGACCAGGGTACCACGGGAGCTGGTGAGGGTGGCACTGGGAGCATCAGGATCTCCTGAGCTGCTTGAAGGGCTTCAGGTATCGATGGCACCTGATGCTGGCTGGGGCCTGAACTGCTATCTGGAGCTGCAGGCAAAGCATGGGATGGCCTGCACCACTCAACTTGAGCTGGGGCCCGACTTCCCAAGGGGGATGTTGAGTTGCCCGGCACGGATCTTGGCTCGCCCCCTGCCCTTTCCTTTCCCTTGCCAGGGGTAGGAGATCTTCCCCTCACAGTCTTTTTCGGTTTCTTGACTGAAGCCATGGAAGGAGACCGGTGCCAGCTTGTGGACAGCGCCTGGGGAGCACTGCACGTGGAGGCCATGGTGCTTGGTGTGGAGTCAGACCGCTGCTCTGGTGCTGGAGTGAGTGTCGATTCCATTAGGAGTGCTCTTAGATGGATATTGCGCTCCTTCTTCGTCCTAGGTTTGAAGGACTTGCAGATACAGCACTTGTCACTTATGTGCCCTTCACCTAAGCACCTTAGGCAGCTGATATGTGGATTGATAATGGGCATACGCTGTTTGCAGCAATCGCAGGGCTTAAAGCCTGGGGACTGTGGCACGTCCTGACCCCTGTCTGGGTCCCATTTGTGACTAATGAAAAGTTTGAGAACTACTACTAAAGGTAACTAAGAAACTACTAACTATATATAACTATTTTAGAGGATTTCAAAGTTTGCAAGAACAAAGAACGAAACAACGCTAGCCAAAGAAGCAGATATTCCAGCACCGTCACTGGCGACAAGAAGGAACTGAGGGTGGGAGGCGTCAGCGGCGCCCCTTATACCATGCGATGCGGGTGCCACTCTAGAGGGCACAAGAGCCGGTCCCCCATGGATACTGCTGAGGGAAAAACTTCTGGCACTGGTGCATGTGGCAAGCACACACACCTAATATGGAATGGACATGAGCAAGCACTTGAAGAAGAACTTTGTTCTTCAAGCTGTATTGTTCACGTCCATTCCATTCTAGATGTGTGCGCATGCACCTGCACAGTCGTCAGAGATTTTTGATTTAGCGGTATCCGTAGGGTTGGCTGTGGTGCCCTCTGGAGTGCTGCGCTCATGCGGCGGTATATAGGCATTGCCGACCCTACACCTCTCAGTTCCTTTTTGCCAGCAACTCCGACAGAGGGGTAGGAAGGCAGATAATGGAATGGACATGAACAATACATCTCAAATAACAACAGTTACGAAAGGTAGGTAACTGTTTTTCTTCAAGCGCTTGCTCATGTCAATTCCATTCTAGGTGACTCACAGGCAGTATCCTTAGAGTTCAGTCATGCGGCTTGCAACACTGGTCTACCAAAACCAGCATCGTCATGGACCTGCTGGGTGAGTGCGTAATGAGACGTAAACGTGTGGATAGACAACCAGTGGCCCTGCAGATATCTTGAATCGGCACTTAGGCCAGGAAGGCTGTTGCCGAGGCTTGTGCCCTAGTCAAGTGGCGGTTACAGTCGCCGGTGGAAGCACTTTAGCCAGATCATAGCAGACAAGGATGCAGGTGGTAATCCATGATGAAATTCTCTTAGGCGGACACTGGAAGACTTTTCATCCTGTCCGCCACTACAATGAACAACTGTGTCGACTTACGGAATGGCTTGGTCCTTTAAGTGTAACAGGCTAGTGCGATCCTGACGTCCACAGAGTATAATTTTCACTCCTCTTCTGACTTATGAGATTTTGGAAAGAAGACAGGTAAGTATATGTCCAGGTTTGTATGAAACTGTGAAGCTATCTTGGGCAGGAAAGCTGGATGCAGTCACAGCTGGACCTTGTCCTTGTAAAACACCGTATAGGGAGGCTCCGAGGTAAGCGCCCTAATCTCAGAGACCTGCGGGCAGAAGTTTTTGTCAGCAGGAATGAAACCTTCTAGGAGAGTAGAAGCTGGGAGCAGGAAGCCAAAGGCTTGGGGTCGGGGGGCGGGGAGGAGAGAAAGATGGTTTATTGTTCACCCAACTGATCACTCTTTTTAATTGTGATGCATAATAATAAGCCAAGTTAGGGAAAACACTAAGCAGTGCTTTTTCTTGCTTTAGTGATCACTAACAAAGATTCTGGAATCATAACTCACTTGACAATTTTGTTGATGGAGCATGAGACAGAATAAAACACATTTGCTCTACCATCATTACAGCACATTGGCTTTCCAGTACTCACAGCAGAAAACATTTATTTGTGCCACTAGCCTAAGCTCCAGAAGAGTCACAGAGAGTAGGTGTTTGTATTAACAAGGTGCACATTTTTAGTTTAGTTTCTGACCATAACGATACACTTTACTATGACATGGGTCAGTTGCCATAAAGAAGAGCAAGGAGGAGAACGTAGCCTTTTGCTAAGTCCCTTTAGAGTGTAAAGTGGCATTTCTTTACATTCAATGCAATGTGCCTTTATTGATTTTTTCCCTCTTCTTTAAAGTGGATGCCTTTTGCTACAAAATGTAGATTTTGTTAGTAAATAGTAATCATAACAATAAGCTAAATCCTGAAAACATTATTATTATCATTAGTAAACATGTATTAGTAAATTTTGAGATCAACTGGATTACTCATGGGCTTGAATTCAATCATGTGCTTAAGTGTTTGCAAGATATGTGCCACAGATAAGAAAATGCCTGCCTCAGAGGGCTTATAGTTTAAAAGACACAAAACCAGACATCAGGCTACACTCTCATTGTAGCTAACATCTGTGGAGATGCACTTTTGATAGGCCAATGGTAGGAAAATTGTTAAAAAGTCTCAATGCACATAAAGCCATACAGGGTATTTCATCCAAAGATTTCAAAGCACTCTATGTATTTTTATTAATCACATGGTACTCATTGTACAGATGGGAAAACTAAATACCTTTACAAATCTGGCCCTAGGTGACTAACCCAAGGTCATACAGAAAGTTAGCAGCAGGGTCAGGAATAGGAGTCTTGACTCCTAGTAAAACACTGCAAGCACTAGAATACCTCATCACATATGGTTTAGAAGCATCCATTGTTTTTACCATTAGGAAGGAGAATCCACTTTCCCTTGCTCCCTGTGCAGTGAATGCAACACTGTGTTCTGTATTAATAGGAGAAAATGCCTTATGGAAATGTTCATATAATGGTGGGACTTTGGTAGCAGTGTTGTAAAGGATGTTACTTTTTAATTAGTATCTATCTATCTATCCATCCATCCACGTCAACTGCTCCCTCACATTCAGAAACAAACTATCAGTACTTCTAGTGCAGTGTTGTAGAAGGGCAGAACAACAGAGAGGATATAGCAAGAGCCTGAAAAACCATATCACCTGTTTGAAGTTGCCATTTTTCCTCTGCTCCCAGTCCATCATGTCATGAAAGATGGGGATCATGATGTTGCGGACCTCTGTCTGTGGGACCAGTGTGACACCAAGGAAGGGGCCAATCATTCCCGGAATAAAGTGAATTTTATGTTCACCTGGGCAACACAAAGCAATTTACATTTAATGAAAGCCTTCCTTTTTTATTATTCCCTGTTGAGAAGAAGGTGAGACTATATGGTAAAGACACATGCAACTTGTCCCTGCATTAAGCATAAAGAAGCAAACAGGTTCTTTCTCCAAAAATTATCAAATCAATGGTACTTTAAGTTTTCCATGGTGAAGTCTGCCTGGTTATCTTTACATTAATTAGTCTTTACATTTAGCAGAAACTGCAGATCCTACAGGGAAACTCATTCAATATCTGCTTCACCTTTATGTGTCAGATGCATTAATTCTGCCTGAGAAGATGGAGAGATTCCACTGTCGTTTTGGAGGCTCTGGCTCCTAAGGAGAAAGGGATTTTTCAAAGGAACTGTGATAATAGTATTTAATGGATCAGCTACAGGTCCTTTAGACTTTTTAGAGTTCCTTAACCTTAGTGGTATGAAATTTGCAATTGAATGGACAAGGACCTTGACTTTGAACGAAACAGTGTCACCTCTAGGTAGCAGAAATATACAGCATTGTTAGCAATTATTTTTATAGTGTGCTTCCACTGTAAAACTTTAGTAAATAAAACAAAATTATCTGAAAAAAACATTGATAGGGCAATATTGTTTTGAGATATCACTTCTCCACAAAATTATCTTTCAGATTAAATTGGGAATCCAACATACACCTACATATTGGAGGTTTTCCTCTAGTAAATTAATCAGTCTCTTAGGTGGTCCCAGAATTGCAAAAAGGCAGGGGTAGGAAAAGAGAAATAAACAAATCAGGAAAAGCAGAAAAGAATGATTTTGATTTAAAGAGATAATAATTTTAATCCCTATGGGGAGCATATGTCATTAACTCTGCAATATTAAAACTCCTATTTCATTTCTCAGGTTTCAGAGTAGCAGCTGTGTTAGTCTGTATTCACAAAAAGAAAAGGAGTACTTGTGGCACCTTAGAGACTAACAAATTTATTTGAGCATAAGCTTTCGTGAGCTACAGCTCACTTCATCCGGCTGTAGCTCACGAAAGCTTATGCTCAAATAAATTTGTTAGTCTCTAAGGTGCCACAAGTACTCCTTTTCTTATTTCATTTCTGTCATTCTGCATGTGAAGCATAAAGCAGACACTTTGGTATATTCCTCAAAATCATGATCTGGATGATTACAATTTAGACATACTAGATTTTGTCTTTTAAGCTGCATGTGACATTTGTTTAAGCCTGTTAACAATTTCATGAATATTGCTATCTATTTTTCAGACAAATAATGAGAAGCAAAGTGTGTTTCTAACATAACTAATACAGTGAAGTCAATGTGATACATTCCCTGCCAATGTGATGGGGCACATGTCATAAGATGCTATGCTGCACCCCAGCTCACTTCAACCAAAAGATGTTATTTAGATCAGAAATAAGTACAATTCATAGTTTTGTAGATTATAAGGAGGCCAGAAGGGATCACTGTGATCATCTAATCTAACCTCATGTATAACACAGGCCACAGGATTTCCCTGAATTAATTCCTGTTTGAACTAGACCATATCATTTAGAAAAACATCCAATCTTGATTTTAAAATTGGCAGTGATGGAGAATCCACCACAACCCTTGGTAAATTGTTCCAATGGATAACTACCCTCGCTGTTAAAAATTTATGCCTTATTTCTAGGGTGAATTTGTCTAGCTGCAATTTCCAGCCACTAGATCTTGTTATGCCTTTGTCTGCCAGATTGAAGAGCCCTCTGTTACCTGTTCCATAAGTAGATTCTTATAGACTGAGATCAAATCACCCCTTAATATTGTCTCTGTTAAGATAACAGATTGAGCTCCTTGAGTCCTTCACTATATAACATGTTTTCAATCCTTTCATCATTTTTGTGGCTCTTCTCTGAATCCTTTCCAATCAATATCAATGTCTTTCATGAATTTTGGACACCAGAAATGGGCACTATATTCCAGAAGCGGTTGCACCTGTGCCAAATATAGAGGTAAAATAACCCCTCTACTCCTAGTCAACATTCCCTGTTTTTTAATAATCAAGAAACACATTAGCGCTTTTGGCCATAGCTTTACTCTGCGAGCTCTTGTTCAGCTGATTATCCACCATGCCCCCCAAGTACTTTTGGAGTCACTGCTTGCCAGGACAGAATTCCCCCATCCTAGAAGTAAGGCCTACATTCTTTGTTCCTAGATGTAGGATTTTACATGTAGCCACATTAAAAGCTTATTTGTTGCTTGCACCCAGTTCACCAAGTGATCCAGATCATTCTGTAGCAGTGACTTATCCTCTTCATTATTTACTACCCAATCTTTGTGTCATCCACAAACTTTACCAGGAATGATTGTATGTTTTCTTCCCAGACAGATAAATGTGTTAAATAGCATAGGGCCAAGAAATGATCTCTGTGGGGCCCCACTAAGAACACGTTTGCCTGATTATGCTTCCCCATTTACAATCACATTTTGTGAGCTATCAGTTAGCTAGTTTTAGCAGATTCAATATATGCTGTGTTGATTTAGTAACATTCCAGTGTCAATCAAAATATCACATGGTACAAACTCAAATGACTTACAGAAATGTAAAGTCTATTACAACTGGTGTAACAACTATTGGATAATTGTGGGCAAACTTTTGTGTTTTTTTAACCAGAAACAGAGAATTTGTTTCAGAGTAGCAACCGTGTTAGTCTGTATTCGCAAAAAGAAAAAGAGTACTTGATGCATTCCGATGAAGTGAGCTGTAGCTCACGAAAGCTTATGCTCAAATAAATTTGTTAGTCTCTAAGGTGCCACAAGTACTCCTTTTCTTTTTGTGAATACAGACTAACACAGCTGCTACTCTGAAACCTGAGAAATGAAGTGTCTCTAAGGTGCCACAAGTACTCCTTTTCTTTTTAGAGAATTTGTTATTATACTTATCAGACACATTAATAAAGCACTCATAAATATGCATGTCTCTTACTGCATGTCTCATGCATGGATTCACCAAGGGAAGGTCATGCCTGACTAATCTAATCGCCTTTTATGATGAGATTACTGGTTCTGTGGATGAAGGGAAAGCAGTGGATGTATTGTTTCTTGACTTTAGCAAAGCTTTTGACACGGTCTCCCACGGTATTCTTGTCAGCAAGTTAAGGAAGTATGGGCTGGAAGAATGCACTATAAGGTGGGTAGAAAGCTGGCTAGATTGTCGGGCTCAACGGGTAGTTATCAATGGCTCCATGTCTAGTTGGCAGCCGGTATCAAGTGGAGTGCCCCAAGGGTCGGTCCTGGGGCCGGTTTTGTTCAATATCTTCATAAATGATCTGGAGGATGGTGTGGATTGCACTCTCAGCAAATTTGCGGATGATACTAAACTGGGAGGAGTGGTAGATACGCTGGAGGGGAGGGATAGGATACAGAAGGACCTAGACAAATTGGAGGATTGGGCCAAAAGAAATCTGATGAGGTTCAATAAGGATAAGTGCAGGGTCCTGCACTTAGGACGGAAGAACCCAATGCACAGCTACAGACTAGGGACCGAATGGCTAGGCAGCAGTTCTGTGGAAAAGGACCTAGGGGTGACAGTGGACGAGAAGCTGGATATGAGTCAGCAGTGTGCCCTTGTTGCCAAGAAGGCCAGTGGCATTTTGGGATGTATAAGTAGGGGCATAGTGAGCAGATCGAGGGACATGATCGTTCCCCTCTATTCAACATTGGTGAGGCCTCATCTGGAGTACTGTGTCCACTTTTGGGCCCCACACTTCAAGAAGGATGTGGATAAATTGGAGAGAGTCCAGCGAAGGGCAACAAAAATGATTAGGGGTCTGGAACACATGAGTTATGAGGAGAGGCTGAGGGAGCTGGGATTGTTTAGCCTGCAGAAGAGAAGAATGAGGGGGGATTTGATAGCTGCTTTCAACTACCTGAAAGGGGGTTCCAAAGAGGATGGCTCTAGACTGTTCTCAATGGTAGCAGATGACAGAACGAGGAGTAATGGTCTCAAGTTGCAGTGGGGGAGGTTTAGATTGGATATTAGGAAAAACTTTTTCACTAAGAGGGTGGTGAAACACTGGAATGCGTTACCTAGGGAGGTGGTAGAATCTCCTTCCTTAGAGGTTTTTAAGGTCAGGCTTGACAAAGCCCTGGCTGGGATGATTTAACTGGGATTTGGTCCTGCTTCGAGCAGGGGGTTGGACTAGATGACCTTCTGGGGTCCCTTCCAACCCTTATATTCTATGATTCTATGATTCTATGTCTCTTCTGTACATGATCGCTAGCTGTGCACTTTTAGAATTCTGCATCACCCTGACTTGTTCTGTTGTACCATTTGCAAATGGATGAAATTGGACACAGCTGTAAAGGTTTAGTTTCAGCGATGCAGTCATAGACCAGATTAAAGTCAAGAGTGTACAACCGTATCTCAAGTACTAGACTAGATTGCAGCACAACAGCATGGATTTCCAAATGCTAATGCAGTACATCATCTGGGAATACCAAAGAAAAGCTGTTGAAACCAGTCACTATAAGATTTGAGAGTAAAGTATTCAAATTCATAGGAATGAGTTATTTCAAATGAGAAAAATATCACCATAGAGCTATTCAGAAAGTCATTTTTTTTAGTTGAAAATTCCTGAAGAAACTACAAGACCCAGCATAAGCTCTGTGGTGTCACAGCACTAAAGCTGAATATTAGTAATGCAATTTTTGAACAACTTTAGTTTTGGTGATTAAGAGGAGAATAGGAGACAAAGAGACATACCCAGGTTCTGCCACATGCTGAACAACTCATATGCCATCATCACTCGCATGTCGCCGTATCTGAAAGAGACAGCATAGACAATCCCTTAATGGGACAAAATACAGCAAGCTGGTGATCTAATGAAATTAAATCAATATTTAAACCAAGGTTATACTTTTTAAGAACACCAAGGGATTCATCAAATTGTTGCATACTTGTCCTATGACCTCTACGTATGATTTTTCTGGGATGATTCCTCTCACTGCCTGTAATGTATGGGGTTTTGTGATAAAAACCTATGTCCTACTTTTGAGGTTATGTCAAAAATCAGAGTTTTGGAGGCAAGGAGATCATATTCTTACTTGTCCAGAATCTTCTTTCTCTTAGCTGGAGTGACAATTTCTAGCTGCAGGCTTGGCTGGTTTATAAACAGAACTGCCAAGCTGAAATAGGAGTTCCACACCTAGAAAACAGGAAGGAAATTAAACACATGACAGTCCAAAGGCAGAACAAGTTCTGAACACAAACATACATGCCATGTTTACATTTTACAGAAGGCATCAGGTTGTTCCACCTTAAGTCAGAGGAAAATAGGTAATTATGTCTCAATAAACCAGATGTAATAATAAACTAAGTTAAATCAGTGCCAAGAATTATACAAATACTGGAGGGAATGACAATTAAAAGAGCCTTCCGAGGGAAGTAGTGGGGGCAAAAGATCTATCTTGCTTTAAGATTAAACTCGATAAGTTTATGGAGGAGATGGTATGATGGGATAACATGGTTTTGGTAATTAAATATTCATGGTAAATAGGCCCAATGGCCTGTGATGGGTTTTTAGATGGGGTAAGATCCAAGTTACCCGGGAAAGAATTTTCTGTAGTATCTGGCTGATGAATCTTGCCCATATGCTCAGGGTTTAGCTGATCGCCATATTTGGGGTCGGGAAGGAATTTTCCTCCAGGGCAGATTGGAAGGCCCTGGAGGTTTTTCGCCTTCCTCTGTAGCATGGGGCACGGGTCACTTGCTGGAGGATTCTCTGCTCCTTGAGGTCTTCAAACTACAATTTGAGGACTTCAATAGCACAGATATAGATGTGAGGTCTTTTTTAGGAGTGGTGGGTGAAATTCTGTGGCCTGCATTGTGCAGGAGGTCAGACTAGATGATCATAATGGTCCCTTCTGGCCTAAATATCTATGAATCTATGAATCTATGAATCCAGCAGCAACGGAGTGGTGGGGCTTCAGACATAGGCCTTTAACCTCTTGACACCTGAATTCAACTCTGCATTAGGCCAAAAGTGAAATGAGTTTGGCAGTTTCAAATATTCCTAGTGAACACGTTTTCATACCCTAAACCACAACATAGAGTGTGCTTTGAATTACATTAGACACTATACATTCTTGACTTTAGCCAATGCAAGCAGTCTCACTTTTCGTACCATTAGAATTCATAATGCTTCTGCTCTTCTGGGATTTTCCAGTTCAGTCAAAGCCTCAGCAGAGTTTGATGACTGTATCAGCTAGTTTATTTTCTGAGCTAATGAACACAGTGAACATAATCTATTAACATAGAGTAGCCACTGTTCCTGCATTGCTGCTGGTTTTAAAGGCTGTCATGAAATTTTCTAGATCTCAATCCTTACCTTAAAATCAAAGTCTGTTTCTGTGAAGTTCTTGTGCAGGGCAGAAGACAGGTACTGGACTGTGGTAACTATGATACTATAATTAAAAAAAAGATCGTTTTCAATCAGCAGTACAAATTACATTCAGAGAGTTTTTGAATGGCTCTGAGCACTGGTGCTTTCTGTTACATTTCAAAATGCATTTTGGCACTCTTTCTTTATGCAGTCATTTCTAGATATCACCATAAAGGTCACTGTATTTTGTTTTTTTTTTTAACAAAGACTTCAAATTAAATAATGCAAGGACGAATTCACAAATATGTTTTCCTGAACTATTGTAGATATTGGAAACTGAAGAATATCTTTGTAATTGATGAGTTTATTTTGAAAAGTCCAGTACTGCAGTTAATAAATAAAAGAACAAACATAACTTATTTATTTTTGTTTCTGTGCATTTCTTTAATCAAAAATCAGGTAGGCACAATCCTCTACGGTTTTTGGACTTTGCTGTAAATTGATCTCCTCTGTACATTTTGGGTAATATTTTGTAAGCTCTGGGTTCACTGGGAAACGTAAATATGTTTGTAGGTGCTTTGAGCAGGGGGTTGAATTAGATGACCTCCTGAGGTCCCTTCCAATCCTGATATTCTATGAAATGCCTTTAATTAAATGGGAATAAATCATGTAACAACATGCAAGAATTAATGAAGTCTAATTTGCTTTGGTATAAAAAAGAAATAGGCTAAAGCTCAGCATCTCATTCATGTGATACTTTCAGCGACATTGATAAATGCACCTTATTTCAACCTGAAGAGATTTCCAGCTAAGCAGCGCCAGCAGGATGAGGTTATCTAGGTAACCAGGTCTTTTTTACTTTATATGGATTTCTCTTGTCCTGTAGTACAGCATGTAACCTGGGGGTTCACAACATCTATAGCTACTTCTTTCACTTCTCGTTAGCACTGTGAACTCACAGAGCATACAACACCACTGTTATAATATAGATATTCAGGCCTGTCTGTAAAGCCCTATACTCTAAGAATTTAAGTGTATTCTTATCACTTGGCTAGTTAGAGGTATAAAAGAAAGAATCAAAATCACTGTCTGCCAGTGTAAGGTCCTTCTCTTACTGTGACAGTCTGAGGCCCTGTGCTTAGGCTAAGATATTTGGCTAAGCAACAGAGGCAGCCATAAGCTGGGAAGCGATGGGTCACCTCCTCACATTCCAAACTAGTCACATTGAAATAAGGTGCTATTGGGCTGTTAGGAATATACTCCTGTCCTGATAGTGCCTATCGCCTCCAGAGAAAGGGAAGTGCCTAGAAAATGTAAAAGGAAACTTAGTTTGATAGCATCCTGTCTGGCAAGAACTCACTTATCAATAGCTGGGATGTAAAATCCTCACTTCTGTATTGTTTTGTCATAATAGTTCCCACTTTGCTATAGTTTGTCTGTATAATCTCTGTCTGGTTCTGTGATTGTTCCTGTCTGCTGTATAATTAATTTTGCTGCGTGTAAACTAATTGAGGTGGTGGGATATAATTGGTTACATAATCATGTTACAATATGTTAGGATTGGTTAGTTAAATTTCAGGAAAATGATTGGTTAAGGTATAGCTAAGCAGAACTCAAGTTTTACTATATAGTCTGCAGTCAATCAGGAAGTGGGTGGGTGGGAAATGGGAACAGGGAATGGGGGTGGGGAAATTGGAATCATGTTTTGCTAAAGGGGGAAATGGGAACAGGGAATGGGGGTGGGGAAATTGGAATCGTGTTTTGCTAAAGGGGGAAATGGGAACAGGGAATGGGGGTGGGGAAATTGAAATCGTGTTTTGCTAAAGGGGGAAATGGGAACAGGGAATGGGGGTGGGGAAATTGGAATCATGTTTAGGCTAAGGGCAGGAATGGGAACAGGGACACAGGTGTAAGGCTCTGTGGTGTCAGAGCTGGGAAGGGGGACACTAAGGAAGGAAACTGGAATCATGCTTGCTGGAAGTTCACCCCAATAAACATCGAATTGTTTGCACCTTTGGACTTTGGGTATTGTTGCTCTCTGTTCATGTGAGAAGGACAAGGGAAGTAAGTGGGTGAAGGAATAAGCCCCCTAACAACCACAGCTGACCAATCAGCCTTCAGGAAGAGGTCCATGACATCATCTTGCAATGTGGACCCCTCCAGTACTTCAGTTAGTCAACTGTGATGCTACAGTTAGGTTAGCTAATAAAATGAGACACTAGTAGGTAACCCCAGCCTCTGGGTATAATCCTGGCTCTCAGCCTGCTGCTGCTACCTCCTAAAAACAACAGAAAAAGCTTGACAAGGCAAAAATAAAAAACAAAACTAAAAAATTCAAGCCCAAATGACAACTGCATAATCAAGAAATAATGATTTCAATCTGATACCTTGTCATCTGGTGTAAGGACTGTGGTCTGCCCCTCCTTTTCTAAAAAAAATTGAGTCCACCACCAGGGCCGTCTCTAGAGTTTTTGCCGCCCTAAGCAAAAAAATTGCCGTCCCAGCAATTGCCGAAGCAAAAAAGAAACAAAAAAAAAAAAAAAAAAGCCAACCGGTGGCCGGAACGCCGCCCCTGGAATTGTGCCGCCCCAAGCACGTGCTTGCTTTGCTGGTGCCTAGAGCCGGTCCTGTCCGCCACTGATCTAAGCTGAGTTGTTCTGGTCTTTCACCCAAAGAGCATGTTTACAACCTGTAGGGATGCTGGTTCTGTCAGGAGCAGTAGCCCCAGGCAGTGCACCAGCAACAAACTGCGAGAAAACTCCTTGGTGAGTTTTGTTGCTGTTTTTTAAATTGAGACACAATGAAGAGGTGGGGAAAGGATAGGTCAGTGGTTTGAGCATTGAACTCAGAGCCTTGGGTTTAGCAGGCCAATCTCTGAGGGGGCCATTTAGGGATCTGGGGCAAAAATTGGGGATTGGTCCCACTTTGAACAGGGGGTTGGACTAGATGACCTCCTGAGGTCCCTTCCAACCCTGATATTCTATGATTAAGCCAGAGAGGTAACAACGTGGGTAAAAGGAAAATTAAGACCATAAGCACTATATATCCAAGAGCTATGTATACCTCAGCAGCTCCTTCCATTTTAGTAACTTGGCTGAAATGGAAGAGCCAGTCTTTTTGGCTATCCCTCCTTGCACCTCAGACTATTGACAAAGTGCATTTATCACATGGCAAGAGGAAACCATGCCTCCCTCAGTCAGGGAAGGATTTGTGGGATAATTGTGGATACAGACATAGATAACTGGAATTGGTGTCTAGTTCTACTCAGCACTTAAAGAGTGTTGCCTGTCTTCAAAGCAATGGACCTAAGCAAAGCAATTACCGAAACTTTACAGATGGGAAAACAGACAAAGGGGCAGATGTTCAAAGGGGTAAATAAACTCCATATGTGACTAACTTTGGGCAGATCATTTTAGCTCACTATCACTTGTGTGCATAAGTGATAGAATTTACATACAGGAAGCCTATTTGCACTTGGTTTTCGTGAAAAAAGAGCGATTTATAGTATTAACTCTATAGTATGTGTGCCCACTGGTAGCATGTAAAACTTGTACATGAAAGTGATCATTCATTGACAGAAGCCCTAATTTGGCCCTGATAGCTTAAGTAACTTTGCAGAACCAGGATTAGTACTCAGGAGGAGTTCCTGCCTAGAGTCCCACCCCTCAGTCCACTAAAACACACTGTTTCTCTGGGATTGAGAAGCCCTAATGTAGAGTACCCCCAGAGTTCTCAAACGAACATTCAGTGCTTTAAACATGTCCATACTCACTTGCTGGTGAGCAACCTCATCACCATCCAGTCCCGAGGAAAGACACTCATCTTCATTAGATTTCGAAACACACAGAAAATCTTCAGCAGGAACTCCTAATACACAGATAAAAGAGAATAATAAGCAGTGGCAGCTGTAGGCAAATGTACTTTCCTAGCCACAGCCAAGACAATTAAGCTAATTATGTTTCCCTTGCTTGATCCCTGTGTCACTAGGCTACATAGCTCAGGACATGGAAGCAGCACGTATGGGAATGAGACAGATACAGTTGTTTTCAGCAGGTGCACTCTCCTATATTTTAAAGCTTACAGTGCAGCACTTTATTTTACTTTATTCCATATGACATTTCAGTAGTGTCATGCAGAATTCTGGTCTGAGTTCCCAGCGTGACTTTTGGAGGAACTGTTATTTATTTAATTTATATTAAAAGGGGTATGTTTTCATGGTTCTAGGCACCCCTGTCATAAAATAAAAAAATGAATAAAAATAAATTATTTTATAGGTTATGTAATATGGTAATATAAGATCCCATTTATGATGAAGAAGAAAGGACTTGCTAAAGGCATCCCACCCCGATGTCTGTTTCTAAAAGGACCACTTCAGAGAGAGAGAGAGAGAGAGAGAGAGAGAGTGTATGTGTCTATCATGCAAAAAAACCTAAGGGAGAAAGAAGAGTGGTCTAGCAGTCCTGAACAAAGGATTGAGGAAAAACTCCTGAGATCAAATCCTGGCTCTGCCAATGACTTACTTTTTGATTCTGAATAAATCACTTAGCAACTCACTATCTGCCTCATTTTTCACTTTTATATAACAGTAATCCTCTCTTAACCCATAAAAGGGGTATACATTATTGTTGTTACACCAGCATAATTCAATCTCTATCTCCATAGCCAATTTAATCACAGGTCTTTTTACTGAGACTATCAAGAAGGTTGCCAGCTGTGACAGTGATATTTGTGATGTCAGGTGAGAACAACTTCAAAACTTTTCTTAAGTGAACTTTTCAGTAGAGCTGGTCAAAACTTGGAATTTCTGGTTTCTGGGAAATTTCAAAACTCCTTTCTTCTAATTCAAGTAGAAAACAAATATTTTTGAAATTTCCTAATTACCCGAAATTCCCCCCAACCCCAAAAAATACTGTTTTGGAAGACATTAATTTTTAAATTTCAATTTGGATTTCTCAGTTTTGTTTTGGAAGCTTGTTTTTTTATTCTTGAATTTCAAAACTTTGTTTCAAATTTGATTGATTTTTAAATTTTTATTATATTTAATTATTTCATGACATGTAGATGTAGTAAATATCATGAAAGGCAGCTGCTTCTTAGTACTGACTGAAACATCTTAGTAGCTTCCCTTTAAGATTTCAAAAAATATATTAAAAATAGAATATTTAAACGATTATATAATATTATGAGTCAGTAGCTACAGTGCATAATGTGCAATACTACTGACATAACATAATATAAAAATAATGTACCAATAAAAACAGGTACAAATAAAATAGAATTCAAAATGAAATTTTGAAATTTCAAAGCAAAAATTCAAATTCCAAAGCAAAATTTTGAAACCCAAAATTAAATTTTAAAACAAAGATGTACTGAAATGATATTTGTTTGTTTTGAAATTTGAGAGAATTTTTATCAAAACTGACAACTTTTTCAGAAATATTTCAATTATGATGAAACCAGAATTTTCTGTTAAAAATTCCACAAAAATTTCCAACAAGCTCTACTCCTATGTATATTCCATGTCTACTTAAGACTCAGTATGAGAGTGCCAACTCTTATCATGTGCACTATTGAAAAAGTCATCAAAAGTTAACTTTAGATCACTACCAATTTGAGCTCCATTCAACCTAGCAACCTGGAGGTAAGAGGCTCTGTTATCCCAAAGTCTGTATCTCTGAGCCACCCAGCTTTTCTCAGGATACATTTTCATTGGTATATACAGTAATTGGAAGTTGACAACCTCTTCCAAAAGCACTTCAGATCCTGTTCCACCTTGTTTGTTCAGTGTTTTAACAGGTTTCTACCATGGTGTCAGTTTGGTATTACTATTCACTCTATTACTGAGCTGTCACACTAGCCACAAAAACATTTTGTATATAACCCCATCATCATACTGTGAAAGGAAAGTGGCAGCATGACTGTTACTTCCATCAGATTTATGTATTGCTGCTTGAAGTTAATCTGCACTTCAGAGCCATTTACTGTGATCTGAGACATGCTGCCTTCATACTGATGCGAAGGTAACAGATAGGCTTCTCTCCCTTTGAGATGGACACCTCAAAACAGATAACGGTTGGGAAGCCACCAGTGAGGGTACATAAACAGTGTACTAAGCAACTCTCTCTTCGTAATCTTCATAATAGCTATTATTTAGGTCACCACTCACAAATGGGAATTTGGGGAGCTTGTTGAAGCATACCAGGTAGAGTAGGCTGGCCACTACTCCAACAGACCAAGCTAAAATTTGCTGTTGACTTTTCTCTGCTTGGTATGCAAAAGTCAGCCTTGGAATATAATTATCTTTTGACATAAGAACAAACTTCAAACCTTTTCTTAAGTGAGCTCCTATGTATATTCCATGCCCTTCAATAGGTTGCAGAATAAACTACTTTGGATTTTCTAGTCTGTACAGACTACTAGTCTGTAGTTCAAGCTATGTTCCACAAAGTACCATAATGATATCTATCCCAGGTACTTATCTGCTCCCTATTATCATATGATCTGAACACCTTGCTATCTTTAATGTATTTATCCTCACACCACTGCCATGAGGTAGGGAAGTGCTATGGGTATGACTAACTGCAGCTGAGAGGTGTTATTCCCAGTGCGGTGGACAGATTCGTGCTAGCACACTAAAAATAGCAGTGTGGAAGTTGCGGCGCTGGCTCAGGTTAATCACTTGAGCGCAGACCCAGGAGGTTGGGCAGGCTCGGACTTGGGCAGTTATCCTGAGCCACTGCTAGTGCCACAAGAGCCACACTCCACTAACTCAGGGTGAGAGCTTATGCTCAAATACATTTGTTAGTTAGTCTCTAAGGCGCCACAAGTACCCATTTTCTTCTAACCACACTGGGAATCACAACTCTGAGCTGCAGTGTAGACATACCAGAGACATTCTGGGTATGTTTACAATGCAGAGAAAAACCTTCAGCACAGTCTCAGAGCCTGGGTCAACAGACTTGGGCTTGCAGGACTTGGGTTGCCGGGCTAAAAAGAGCAATTTAGATGTTCCTGCTCGGACCGGAGCCCAGGGTCTGAGACCCTCCCCCTCAGCTCCAGCCCAAGCGTGAATGTCTACACTGCTCTTTATAGCCCCACAGTCCGAGTCCCATGAGCACAAGCCAAAGGAACCAGGCTCTGAGATTCGGCACCATGGGTTTTTCTTTGCAATGTAGACATACCTTCGGTGACTTGTTCAAGGTCACACAGGAAGCCTGGGATAGAGGTAGGGACTCCCAACTCCTAGGCTAGTGTCCTAACCACTGGACCATTCTTTTCTCTGATAATAAGAAACTAAGTATATAAAACAAATAGGGACTATATCTGTAGTGAATGTGGATGCTCAGTAGAGTAAGTGAAAACACCTTCTGCACTGTCATCTATCTGATTTCTGAGGATAATATTTAATAGCTGCTTCTAAAAACCATGATGTTACGTCCTACCTTTAGCTCATCCTTGCTCTGGAAGTTGTCCAGTAAATGTTGAAAATGAGTGTCTGACATTTGACGAAGCAGAGACAAGAGACAGGACACATACTCTCCCTGTCAAGTAAATGAAGAATTATTCAGTCCAGACAATCAAAGTATTTTTTAGATGTAAAATTCAACCTGAGGTAGGAGGTAAAAGGTGGGGTCTGAAATGGCACCAATGCATATGGAAGAAAAGCTCATGTGCAGAGATTAAAAATACTGTATGACAAATGATCTCTAGTTCCTGTTAATACATAGCAAAAAATCTCAGAGGCTCAGCTTTCATAGGACTTATTACAAATATCAGAGTTTAAATGGTCAATACTGACAGTCAAGAGGTCTCTCTCTCTCTCCTAGTATGTAAGAGAAGTGAAGCTGCTCTGAAATCAAGGTCTTACATAGTAAATAATACTTTGCCGTTATATAGTTCCTTTCACCATAGCCTCTCAAAGCGCTTTACAAAGGTGAGTAAAAATCCCCACTGTAGCAAAGTGGTTACCCTCTCCTGCCTGGAAGGGCTTAAAACGGCCCTGGGAGAGGGCTGGGGCAGCAGAAAAGCTGGGCTGATTGGGAGGCAGCCTCAGCTGTGGCCATGCCCCAAATAGACCCAGCTGATCCTATAAAAGCCAGTGAAGCCAGGTACAGAAGGACTCTCTCTCTGGCCTGTTGAGAGGGAGGGACCTGGCTGCTGGGAGTATACCAAGGTACCTGAGGTGGAGCAGGGCTGGGGGAAGGCTAGAGGAGCTCCGGCCTGGAAACCCCCCAGGCTGCAGGCCTAGTGGAAGGCCAAATAGATGCTGGGATTGCAGAGGGTAACCCAAGGGGTAGGCAGAGGCAGCAGGTCCAACCTCCCCTTGCCTATGATGAGTGGTGCTTACACTGCAGTCGGCCCCAGGAAACGGGCTAGGTGATGACTGGCAGTGGCCATAGACTGAGGTGAGGTGGGGGTAGAGAGTTTGTGGTTCCCTGGGAAGGGGAGACCCAGATCTGTGTGGGGTACAGCAGGTGGCAGCACCCAGGCGTGAAAGGGGACACTGGGGTCCAGGAGGGACTAGGGGCCCAGCGGCAAGAGGGACACCGGCTTGCAGAGGGAACTCTGGAGGCTGGAATACTAATTCCCTGGATGACCAGCAGGAGGCACCACATGGGTGAGTCCCACCCCGCTACACCCACTTGTACACCTTTGAAGAGTACAGCGTAAAGGGGTGAGGCATTGTGCCAAAGATAACGTTGCAAGTCAGTAGCAGTCAAGAATGGTATCTGTCTCCACCTTACTAGTTCCCTGCTATGACTACCAAACATGTCTCCTTGTAGCAATTGTGTCTCTAAGCCATTGAAACAATTTATTTTAAAACTATTGCAAAGATTTTCTAAGAAGTACCTAATCTTGTGTCACATATTACAGATACTGTGCTAAATATGAATGTTCATGAAGAATGTTTCTGAAGAGATTTTATATCTGGGGGTTTCCTGGGCAAGTTCATTTTTCAGATGGACTCAAGTAGCTGCCCATGTGCTTGGGAATGTTTATAAACTTTTCTGAGCTACTCCACTTAACGTTAATACCTTGTCTTTACTAAGAAAAAGGTGTGTTCTTACAGGTACATGTATTAGCTAACAGATGTAAGTAAAAGAATGTAAAATCATAGTGAAGAAAAGACAGTTGTGTTTTTTTTCCCATAGATACTAAGATCAGAAGGGACCATTATGATCATCTAGTCTGACCTCCTGCACAACGCAGGCCACAGAATCTCACCCACCCACTCCTGCAATAAACCTCTCACCAATAGTCTGAGCTACTGACGTCCTCAAATCATGGCTTAAAGACTTCAAGGAGCAGAGAATCCTCCAGCAAGTGACCTGTGCCCCATGCTACAGAGGAAGGCAAAAAACCTCCAGGGCCTCTTCCAATCTGTCCTGGAGAAAAATTCCTTCCCGACCCCAAATATGGCGATCAGCTAAACCCAGAGCATATGGGCAAGATTCACCAGCCAGATACTACAGAAAATTCTTTCCTGGGTAACTCAGATCCCACCCCATCTAACATCCCATCACAGGCCATTGGGCCTATTTACCATGAATAGTTAAAGATCAATTAATTACCAAAATCATGTTATCCCATCATACCATCTCCTCCATAAACTTATCAAGTTTAATCTTAAAGCCAGATAGATCTTTTGCTCCCACTGCTTCCCTTGGAAGGCTATTCCGAAACTTCACTCCTCTGATGGTTAGAAACCTTTGTCTAATTTCAAGTCTAAACTTCCTGGTGGCCAGTTTATATCCATTTGTTCTTGTGTCCACATTGGTACTGAGATTAAATAATTCCTCTCTCCCTCTGATATATTTATAGAGAGCAATCATATCTCCCCTCAACCTTCTTTTAGTTAGGCTAAACAAGCCAAGCTCCTTGAGTCTCCTTTCATAAGACAAGTTTTCCATTCCTCGGATCATCCAAGCAGCTCTTCTCTGTACCTGTTCCAGTTTGAATTAATCCTTCTTTAACATGGGAAACCAGAATGGCACACAGTATTCCAGGTGAGGTCTCACCAGTGCCTTGTATAACGGTATTAACACCTCCTTATCCCGACTGGAAATACTTTTCCTGATGCATCCTAAGACCGCATTAGCTTTTTTCACAGCCATATCACATTGGCGGCACATAGTCATCCTATGATCAACCAATACTCCAAGGTCTTCTCCTCCTCTGTTATTTCTAATTGATGCATCCCCAGCTTATAATTAAAATTCTTGTTATTTATCCATAAATGCATAACCTTACACTTCTCACTATTATATTTCATCCTATTACTATTACTCCAGTTTACAAGGTCATCCAGATCTTCCTGTATGATATCCCGGTCCTTCTCTAAATTGGCAATACCTCCCAGCTTTGTATCATCTGCAAACTTTATTAGCACATGTTAGCAAGTGAAGGTAAAACCTAGACTCGCCCCTACAAACTGCCTTTTCTTCATTAGGAATTTACCTCATGTTTTTATTGCATTATAGCTAACAAGAGGTTAGGAAATCTCTTTATTCCAAGTGTGGAGGCACTGACTGTACATCTACCTGCACAACCCACTCAAATTCCCAGCCAATTTGTAAGAAAATTAACACTGGATGGAAAGCGTTTTGGAGAACAGATTGACAACACAAGTGGCGCTAATATCTGCTCAGTGTTTGAATCAAGTAAAAATAGGGTTAGGATAGAATATGTAGTGCAAGGAGTCCAGAAAGGGAGAAGACTGGATGGGATTTTTATCCTTTCCCCCCCTCTTTTCATGAAAGACAGGGAAGAATTCTCATTCCTTCTTTATCCCATGCTGCTGAATAATTTGGGCCAGCTGTACGCTTATTAGCACCCTTTGAAAAGATCAGGTTTGGTGCTATATTCATCTCTTTGCTCCCTTCCTCCCACCCAGCTCAGCAACACACTCGATTTCCTATCTGTTGTTTCCTTCTCCAGAAGGATGCACCTGTTTCATTTGTGGGAAGTGATAAGTGTGGTTCAGTTGAGCAGAATCTCTCCAGGGACTGAAGTGAATGGCACTGGCCTGCTGGTGAGGAATCATGATATTCCCAGTGTTATTTTGGTGCCCATTTAGAGGTGGAGCTCTAAATCATCACCTAATTGGCATATGCCAAAGACTACCAAATGATAATTTGCAATCATAACTTCAAATGTAATCCAAGACAGTAACTATAGCAATGAGGAAAGCTTCCTGGGCCCCATCAGTTGCTGATGTAAACGTGAAGCAGACTGACTAGTGCACTGTGACCGATTCTTTTCAGAGTGGAAAGAATGGTTTCATGAGTGGGAAGGGAAGGAGAGAAAGCTGTGATCATTCATGCAGGAGAGATGGTAATGAGGTGTAGGTGGTTGTGAGGGAGTGGGATAAAGGGAGCTGAACGTTAGAGAAGCAGGAAATAGAACCTGATTGTTAGTTACTAACAGTGATTTCGGCTGTGCACTGCGGGCAACGCTGCCCTCTTACCGCCTCCTGAGACTGCGATTTACTCATGATAGTAAGCAGAGTCTGTAAAAGTACATCCAGGAGGCTCTCCACCATCATCTCAACCTCCTCCCCTACATCTGCCTCCTACAGTGAGCAGTAAGAAAACAGACAATTAGTAGCTGAGGACAGAAATGGTAAGCCAAATGTGCAGCTCCAATCACACCAGGAACGGCCTTCATGATGGAACTCTGATAACTTTAGAGAAGCTCAGGAAGAATTGTTACTGTCATAACCATAGGAGTAGCCTAAATTCCTCCTTACCTGTAAGGGGTTAAGAAGCTCAAGTAACCTGGTTGGCACCTGACCAAAGGAACCAATGGGGACAAAAGATGCTTTCAAATCTGCTGGGGGGAGAGGTTTTGTTTTGGGTTCTTTGTTTCTGTGGCCGTTCACTCTTGGGACTAAGAGGGACCGGACATCAATCCATGTTCTCCAAATCTTTCTGAACAAGTCTCTCATATTTCAAACTTGTAAGTAACAGCCAGGCAAGGCGTATTAGTTTATCTTTGTTTTCTCAACTTGTGAATTTTCCCTTTGCTAGAGGGAGGTTTATCCCTGTTTTGTTGTAACTTTGAAACTAAGGCTAGAGGGGGTTCCTCTGTGCTCGTTGAATTTTCTGCTACTCTGTAAGGTTAACTACCAGCCTCAGTTTACAGAGGTGGTTTTTACCTTTTTACTCTTTAAATAAAATCCTTCTTTTTAAGAATCTGACTGATTTTTTCATTGTTCTAAGACCTAGGGGTTTGGGTCTGTAGTCCTTTGTAACCAATTGGTGAGGATATATGCTCAAGCCTTCCCCAGGAAAGGGGTGTAGGCTTGGGAGAATATTTGGGGGGAATAGGACTCCAAGTGTTCCTTTCCCTGATTGATTGATTGTTAAATCACTTGGTGGTGGCAGCAATCCCAAGGCAAGAAAGGAATCTGTGCCTTGGGGAAGCTTTAACCTAAGCTGCGGGTCCCCACATCTGTACCCCAGAGTTCAGACTGGGGAAGGAACCCTGACAGTTACCAAAAGAGATTCCTGGAGATGGAGGTTCGAAGGCAGAAAATAAACATTGCCCTACATAGCAGACACTGTCATATGGCTGCAATGTTATAATATGTGACTTCTCACCTCTTCCCTCCCTGATAGAAGGGTATTGGAACACATCAAAAGATATAAATTAGGGCTGTCGATTAATCAAAGTTAACTCACGCGATTAACTCAAAAAATTGTTAAAAAATTAATCGTGATTAATTGCACTGTTAAACAATAGAATACCAATTGAAATTTATTAAATATTTTTGGATGGTTTTTCTACATTTAAGTATATTGATTTCTATTACAGCACAGAATACAGTGTACAGTGCTCACTTTATATTTTTGATTACAAATATTTGCACTGTAAAAATGATAAACAAAAGAAATAGTATTTTTCAATTCACCTCATACAAATACTGTAGTGCAATCTCTTTGTTGTGAAAGTGTAACTTACAAATGTAGATTTGTTACATAACTGCATTCAAACAAAACAATCTAAAACTTTAGAGTCTACAAGTCCACTCGGTCCTTCTTGTTCAGCCAATCGCTAAGACAAACAAGTTTGTTTACATTTACAGGAGATACTGCTGCCTGCTTCTTGTTTATGTCACCTGAAAGTGAGAACAGGCATTCGCATGGCACTTTTGTAGCCAGTGTTGCAAGGTATTTACATCTCAGATATAATAAACATTTGTATGCCCCTTTATGCTCTGGCAACCATTCCAGAGGACATGCTTCCATGCTGATAATGCTCATTTAAAAAAATAATGCATTAATTAAATTTGTGACTGAACTCTTTGGGGGAGAATTGTATGTCTCCTGTTCCATTTTACCCACATTCTGCCATATATTTCATGTTATAGCCGTCTCGGATGATGACCCAGCACATGTTCGTTTTAGAACACTGTCACAGCAGATTTGACAAAACGCAAAGAAGGTCCCAATGTGAGATTTCTAAAAATAGCTACAGCACTCGACCCAAGGTTTAAGAATCTGAAGTGTCTTCTAAAATCTGAGAGGGACAAGGTGTGGAGCATGCTTTCAGAAGTCTTAAAAGAGCAACACTCAGATGGGGAAACTACAGAACCCAAACCACCAAAAAAGAAAATCAACCTTCTGCTTGTGGCATCTGACTCAGATGATGAAAATGAACATGCGTTGGTCCATTCTGCTTTGGATCATTATTAAACAGAACCCATCATTGGCATGGACGCATGTCCTCTGGAATGGTGGTTGAAGCATGAAAGGACAAAAGAACCTCTAGCACGTCTGGCACACAAATGTCTTGCGACAACAGCTACAACAGTGCCATGCGAATGCCTGTTCTCACTTTCAGGTGACACTGTAAACAAGAAGGGGGCAGCATTGTCTCCTGCAAATTGTAACCAAACTTGTTTGTCTGAGCGAGTGGTTGAAGTAGGACTGAGTGGACTTGTAGGTTCTAAAGTTATTCTTTTTTTATATTTTTGAATGTAGCTTTTTTTGGACACAATTTTACATTTGTAAGTTCAACTTTCATAATAAAGAGATTGCACTACAGTACTTGTCTTAAATGAATTGAAAAATTATTTATTTTTTACAGTGCAAATATTTGTAATAAAAAATAAAGTGAGCATTATACACTTGTATTCTGTGTTGTAATTGAAATCAATATATTTGAAAACGTAGAAAACATCCAAAGATATTTAAATAAATGCTGTTCTATTGTTTAACAGTGCAATTAAGCATGATTAATTTAATCCTGCAATTAATTGAGACTATTTTTTTTAGTTGCTTGACAGACCTAATATAAAGCCATACTGAGACACCTGTGTACTCCATGGCACAGTAGGACTAACTTCTATTCCCCTAAGTTCTGTGGGAATATTGCTTTATTTTATCATTTCTTTCATCCCATTCAAACTTACAGAACTACAGTGCACATTTCAAAATACTCCTTGATGTGACTTATTTTAAACACCATAGACTTCCTCCTTTGGAGTAACCCGGGATAGTTCTCTGCCCTGTAGGAAATTGTGAACATTTTAAAAAAACAACTGAGGTGGCATTTGAGATAAGAGTATCTGGAAGATCAAAGCTGGCTGTTTAAATCAGCAGCAATTTCTGAAAATAAGTGTGATTTCATTGATAATTTTAGAGTTCTCTTAACATTCACCATAAAGTTACTGTTTCCTACAGAACTGCAAGTGACAGGACTGGGTAGGATGTTTGAGCACCACAGATAAGTGAGTTCCAGGCTAGGGTGAAGAAAATTAAACAGTGTCAATCTTGCTGGGTTTGTCTGAGGTTTTTTGTGTGTGGGTTTTTTACAGCAAGAACATGCTGTAACCAGAATGCTCTGTCATACACACAAAGGCAGCCATTCACTTAAGGAATTCTCTTGCTGCTAATAAAGTTAGAGTTCTGTTATAAAAAGATTCACTGAAAAAGATATAGTTTCTATTGGATATATCTCAGATTGTGCTTCAGCAATTTTGTGTTGGAATGGAGAAGACAGGTGGGCAGATTACCAAGGAGCTGGCCTTGATAATGGAGAAGATACTACTGAGGATCCCAGAGCATATGAGTAACTCCTTCTGCTGTCTCAGATGAAGGTGAATGTGATGAAGAACCACAGGAAGCAAGATTCGCCGGGATTCTAAAATAGGGAAACAAGACTCAGAATTATTCAAGGACAGACCAGAATTTCAGCAACCTTGATATTATCCAAAAACCTTGTATGTGGAAACCAAAGAATTAGTATTAATATAGGATGCTGATACAGCAGAATTCACTTAACTGCCCCCCGATTGAAAGACTTTCAATGCAATGCATTTTAAAGACACTAAACAATGAATTAATGAATTCATAAATGGCATGCCTGATGACTACTGTGAATGTGCTTGCAAACAGGTGTGAATTGCCATTTGCTAGAATTAATTTCCAGCTGTGTGGCCCTTTGTTCACTTCATGCTGCTTTCACAGCAGCTTAGTGAGTCAAACTCTGTATATATTTAACTCGTAGGAAATTAGCTTATCTTTGTGGGTTCATCACCTTAAGGACCTAACTGTCTTCGTTGCACAAAATAGTGGAAAGGGTGCAATGTTAGAAGCAGGCAGGTTTTCTGGCTTTTGGGAGGTAGGGCCACATCAGGAGTCTTGCCTGCAGTAAGTTCTGATTGGCCCAGACTCCTCAATGCTAGGATTTCCTCATTCCTTCCTCTACTATGTCTGGCCAATGGTCTTGCCTTCACCAGCTGCAGGGCCCTGCCCTTCCTTTATTCTGGGAAGCCCCTGTAGAAAGGCTGCAAAAGACTCACGAGTAGGGAGAAAATAGAAATCAGCACCAAAGGCAGCCCCACGTTTGAGTGGATAGGTGCAAGGAAAACAGGCCAGTAGCAAAAGGAACACAGGAAGGAACAATAAGGCTTTCTGCTCATTGGAATGCAATGAGGTTAAGAAGATGTAGGGTTGGCAGGTAAAGGAGGGTTTTGGATGCCGGAATCCCTTGTTAAAGAGAGGAGGAGGAGATGAAGAAGCTAACAGAGAGGAGTCAGGTTTACTTAGCTCTTCCTTTTAGAACCCTAACGAAAATATATTAACCCATAGGGTTAAAGTATTTAAAGAAACAGAATCCATTGCCTGCCAATCAGACAATATCACTGCCCTCTTCTTTGATCTGCTTCACTTGTTTCCCTCTTGCCACCCACCTTAGTAAAGTTTAATCCTCTCTTCCTCACCTTCAAGGCCCTGGCAGACTCAGCCCTGGCTTATTGGATCTCACCTTCTATTGTGTTTCCTCTCTGTCTCTTTCTTTGGACAAATATGCCATCTAAAACCTTTTTGTTTTCTTCTTCCACTCCTGTCGTCTTAACTACTTTCAAGAAGACCCTTATACATGGAATGACCTCCCCATCTCAGTGCACCAGGCTCTCACCTTTTCCTCATTCAAATGCCTCTAAAACACCCACTTCTTTTATAAGACCCATAAATGTTGAAAATAAAAATGTTCAGATTATATATTTTTAAAAAACCCTATCTAAAATGACAGGTTTCAGAGTAACAGCCGTGTTAGTCTGTATTCGCAAAAAGAAAAGGAGTACTTGTGGCACCTTAGAGACTAACCAATTTATTTGAGCATGAGCTTTCGTGAGCTACAGCTCACTTCATCGGATGCATCCGATGAAGTGAGCTGTAGCTCACGAAAGCTCATGCTCAAATAAATTGGTTAGTCTCTAAGGTGCCACAAGTACTCCTTTTCTTTTATCTAAAGTGACTCTTTCCTTGGTCTCTCATTGCAGCTCCTCTTTCAGTGAGTATCTTCCAGGCTGCAAGCTTGCTGGGGCAGGGATTGTCTTGTCTTGTTCAATGCAGTTGTAATAAGAAATAATACTAGAGTTGTAGCACAGTGCATTCCTTTGAGCACTGATAATCATAATAATTGGATCACTTAATAAGAATGTTTTTAATCAGTGGATATGCTAGTTAAGTGTATTGTTCTGTACCTTAAATCTCATGTTTTCTACACTATCTGAGGTCACACTATTTATGGGGGCATACCACATATCGTACACCACATTCTTCTCTGTAGGAAAAGCTCCATATATGTAGAACAATATATACATACATACACCATAAGTACAACATAGCTAACAACTCCAAGTTTATTTGTATTCTTCACTGAATGGTTCTCCACAAAGTAGCTGCAAAAAATGCAATACAATCCTACTATCACTTTGCTAGATTTACCAGGGGCATTCAGCTGCAAGTGTTACAAATGGCTGCTACTGTCTTACCTGAGAAAGAAAACAGGCGGCTGTCCACAGTGCGTGCTATAGACTGCAGCTTAACTACATCCATCGACTGTCCGATATGAACTGTACTGGGCATGCTTCCTAGAGTTCCCCTCACAAACTCTGCAACTTCCTGCACAGTGAACATCTGCAATAGCTCATCAAAGATAGCAGGGAAGGAATTCAGTAAAGCAGCCTGAAAAAAGAAAATGAACAAGTTATGACAGTTTTGAGTTCTCTAACCACAGAATAGGGATGGCACATCATAGATATATATGTGTGAAATACAAATAAACAATGGTAAAACAGAGTTAAGGGTCTGAAAAACGCTATTACATTCAAAATGGTGGCTGATGTTCTATCTTTGTAACACCCTGCAGCTCACAAAAGCAAAGCACTTCCGGTATGTGAGCTTTTTGTTCTGAAAACTTTGCAATATCAACATATTATAGAATAAGTTGAGCACAGAGTGATTTTAAAAAAACACAGAACAGTACTGTCTATATTATAGCCGCACGGTTTGTAAAATGGTGTTAAACAGATTCTTTTTTGGTCTCCTGTCAAAAAAAACCAAACACCCAAACTGGTCCAAATATTTTTTTCTTGATTTTTATCTTTTAATGAAAAAAAGTGCTTCTGAGTTAAGAACTTCTATAAAGATTTTTGCACTGAAACAACTTAATAAGGGAGAGTTACAAACCATTCTGAAAGGTTGTTCATAAATAAGATACTGAGAGACCCTTAAAAGCACCACCACGCGATACTACTGTACTTTTACAACAGTGAGGCAGAGTATTTTTGCATCAAAATAATGCATCATACCATGCAAATACTAGAGCAAAATTTATTTCTGTGATAAGGGGGTATCTTTAGTACCTTGGAGTTATCCCTGAAGGTATCTCTGGACTGGAGGAAGGACCTCAACGTAACACAAACAGAACTCTTCATTTCACACTCCTGTCCTTCCTTCCTATTCACTTCTCCATGACAGTAGATAATTCCATGAGCCCTCCCAATCTCCAGGCCCACACGCCTGATGTTATCCTTAACTCCACCCATTTACCCCTCATATTCAGGATGTTTTAAAATCCTGTTTCCTCCTTTACAGTGCATCCAAAATCCCTGTGTGTGTCTTAATAACATCCCACCTGGACTATTGTAACCTCCTCTCTAGTCTTCCCAACAGCTGCCTCACTCCTATCCAATCTATCCAAAATGTCACCACGAAACTCACTTTTTGATCACATCATCCCTTTTTATGAATCCCTTAACTGACTCTGCAGTCCCTTGCATAACAATTTCAAAATAATTGAACTCAATTTGTTAGGATCTTTCCAGCTCTGCTCTTGCCTATGTCTCATCAGTGGCTGTCCACCACTCTCCTCTATTCTGCCAATCTTTCTTCCCTCCACATACTTTTTTTTTTCTCCCAGAAGTACTTCTGTGCCTTCTTTCATGCTGGCCCTTAGACTTGGAATGTCTTCCCTGATCCTATATACCACACAATTTCCCTCTTCAAAACACTTTTATCCACAATCCTTCCAACAAACAATGATCCTCTAGCTAATGTCCTTTACACAATAAAAATAAAAAATGCAATTATGAATAAAATAAAATCAAAAGCCTTTTAGAACTAACAATTTGTCCTGTATAGTTCATAACATTCTCTATATTCCTTCACCCCTTCCTCCATCTCTCTTGCCTGTTATCTCCCCCAGCATCTTGTCATGTGATCAATTTAGATTACATAGTGGCCTAAAGAGCTTACAAGTGCCATCACATGCAACATTATTAGTTTAATTAAACGTGTATCAGTTTTTTGAAATATTTCAAGGTATCTCTTTGGAGGCTATTACAATGGCTGTGAATCTCTACATCAGTTTATCTCTGTGATAATCTGATGATTCTGTAGACTAACTTTGAGAGGTCTGAGACAGCCTTCGGGATAATGGCCTGAGATATCAGTATTATGGCCCTGGGTATTCTTGCAACAGTTTGCCTGAAGCCTGCCTATAAATCTATCTTCTGAGTGGGAGGATTTCTGTAATGATTTAGGAAACCTAGTAATAGTTCAATATTATGCTAGATAACCTGCGGGATCTCTGTGGTGGTTTATTAATTCTTAGAAGGGTATGGCTGCTTTCTGTACAAGTATCTGCAATGGTCTGGTATATTCCTCTTGTCAGATCATTGAACTGGAAAGAGGGCAGAATCAATTTCACTGTGATGGTCGGGAAAGGAGCATGGAGAGAGAGATCTCTAACATCCTGGGTGAAAGGAGAAGTGTGAAGGTTTGTTTTTTTTTTTTTGCTAAGGCCTTGAGCATTTCTGTCATGGCTTAATAGCTTTCCAGTTATCTGGGTTGCTTTTTATTCACTCAAAAGACCTAACTCTGGATCAGTGTATGAAAATATAAACAATGAAACAGGAACAGGGCTGTTCTAAATTACCATCTTCACCATTAGATTTAAGTCTTTGCTGGAACATTATTGGATCAGTATTGATATGAAATATTCAACAGACAAGCACTGGACTAGTGTTACTATCATACAATGATACATGCACTTAAAGAACCTAATCATTATAACAAAAGGCTTGAACTTGTAAATTGCCATTTGCCACAATCATCCTGGTAGAAGCAGAAAGGATGAGCAAGGTCCAAGTAAGTCTTCTTTCATCATTTGTTTAAAATATCTTCTCTCCCACCATTGCTTCTCCTGACTATTAATATGTTAAGCATCCTTTATAATGAAGGATGCATAAGATCCAATCTCTCTTCTCTTTCAATATTGGATCTATAGTATTTTCTTTCTCGTTGATATTGTTTTTCATGACCATGTAGTTATTAAATATATCTTGTTTACTGAAGAATGAATAAGACCCAATATCCGTTCTCTTTCATGACTGATTGGATATACTTTTTTCCTCTCATCGTTGGTTCTCCTGCACAAGTTGACTCACATAGGTATTGATGACCACTTGTACTGTATTTTCAGTGTTTGAAATCCTACATGTTCAATCCATTATCAGAATATTTCACATCATGAGAAAACCTGAAGTTGTACACTGCACTCCAAGATTATATGCAGGAAAAGATGGATTTGGGTAGGGAAAGGAGAGTCACGGGGCACATCCATGATGAAAGAGTGGTGCAGTCAAGGTGATTATTACTTACAGAATTAAACGACGGCCTTGAAGTACCACCACACTTTTGTGGGGCACATGTCCCAGCTCCGCTCACCTGTCCTCCAGGCTGAGGGGCCTATGGGGCAATGAGGGTCGAGGGGGCAACACAATGGCAAGTGGGAAACAAAAAGTAAACTTTTCAAATATTAAACAGGACAGGTTTTATAAATATACAAATGCCTGAAGTGAAGACATTTCGAAAGACAGTAGTAACACAGGGCAAAAAAGAGAGAGAGAGAGAACAATCCTGTCCTCAGTTCAGTTTCCCTTATGTATTTATGATAGCCCAAACGAAAAACAAAAGAATGGTTTCCCCAGACACTATTTTCCCCCAATGTCAGTTTCCTGGTAGAAAGTTGCAGTGATTTCTGATGACCCTGGTCCATACTCTTGCTAAGTGATTAAATCAAAGGCTGCAGCAGTGGTTCTCAAACTTTGTCATAATGTGGACCACATCTCGAGAGAGAGAGACAGTGTCTTGCTGACCACTTTTCCTCCCACTGGGATAATTAAACTTTATTGTGACAACTACAGCAATTGCTTCCATGGAAAATCCTATTAGGACAATATTAAATGTATCTGTAACTGTCTTTTATTGCATTTTAACTGAGAATGTCAAGAAGCAGCACGACATTACCAGTCAGCTCTATGCAAATCACAATTTGAGAGCCTCTGAGCTAGGGTATGTACATACAGCAAAAGATCCTACTGTTTAAAATGTTAAGTTAGTTAGTATTTAAAAGTTAGTGATCTTTAGAATAACACAGAGCCAGACTACGATATCCTTACCCACACTGAGGAGCGCCTTACCTTATATGAACTCTCACTGAAGTCAATGGAACTGTTTGCAAAGTAAGGCACTACCAAACATGAATAAGGATATCATAATATGATTGTAGTCAATCCACCATTGATTCCAGTAGTGATGGTTAAACTGAGGATATGAATTTTTCTAGGGTTTGCTAGTTAATTACACATCAATCAAAACTTTTCCACTATGCGCAGCTGCTGTGATCTACTGTATGAACTTGAGCTTTACTTTCCTCTGTGACTAATAAAGGAATTAAAATGCCTCTGTGCCAATTCTGAGACATGCTTATGAATGAGACACTTAACATAAAAACAAAAAGAATATGGAATGTCTACTCTAACCACATAACATGACAATATAAGTCTCCCTTCACTGTAAAACTGCCCAGCTGTTCTGCATCTGTTCACTGTCTAAACTTACTGTGGAACTATGTCACTCATTTCTGTAAAATCAACCTGTAAAAGAGGGCAAATTATGCCTCTTAACTATCGGATGAATATGTTGCTTGTGCATAAAATAGCTGCCTCTGCACTTCCAGGTGAATTCAAGTATAGAAAATAGCTAACCTGTGTGAAGATGAGAGTCTCTGAGCTCCTGCTGTCCAAGCTGAGTACAAATCTGATGGACTGGAAAAGCTCTTGGATACTGGAGCGAAATTGTTCCTCCTCCATTCCGCAAGTAGCTCTCGAGTAAAGGATCCGAGATTGGACAATGAACTTGAAAAGATATTCCAAGGCCTTAATGAGTAAGAGAGGAATGAGAGTAACAGAGAAAGAGAGAGATAAGGGAGCTTTAAAGAGAACCAGGAAGATTTTAATAACATTATTAATAATGGAATTCTTCATTCACAGAGAACAGGGAAAGAAAAACAGGTTGTGTAAATTAAAACACAGTTATATACAACCTGCTCATAGCTAATTGTTCCCTCCTCACCAACAATCTTTACTATGGAAATCTCTTACTAGGATAAAAGGTGTGTTCTTAATTCAAGTTAACTGAATTAAGGCAAAATCCTAGTGAAGATAATGCAGTAGGTAGTTTTCATGCAAGTTAGCCAGTTGAGCTAAAAACTAAAGGGGAGCCTAGTCCTTCAGTAATTTTTCTAACATACATGAGAACTATAAACTACTTTGTCTTCAACAGGTTTTACCCCGAGTTAACTAACTTGAGGATACATTTTTTTGTTCCTAGAAAAGACAGCAGTGATGCTCCGACTGCATAGGCTAGCCACTTGAGTAAATACCAGGGTCATGGGTGGGCTTGGATAGCCCCTGCTGCTGCAGCTTCACTGCTATTGGTATTCAAGCTAGCCAGATCAAAGCTAGCTTAGGTATATCTACATGTGCGGCAGTCACACCACTGATTGCTGTGTAGAGATACCCAAGATGGTATAATATGCTAGGCATGTACTTGGGATGGCTATCCCCTACTGATGCTTGTGCTGCTGAGCTAGCACAGATATGTCTCCTCAAATTGGAAATTACGCTTCCAGTTCCAAATGTTCACATACCCTTAGAGTAACAGAAGAGGGCCTACCTGGGAAAAAAACCCTGGTCTTCACTCTGGACATGATGGCCTGGCCTCTCTTTATTCCCTGCAACTGCGTGTAGAAACAGCAGTATGTGGGTGTGGAAGGAGGCAGGAGCAGGATGTGAGGGTCTCTGGAAGGCCATAACTTTACTACTAGCAAGGAGCAGTTTGTACAGTAGCAAACCAACTTCCCTTTTTTCCCAGCTGAATACAGTTGCAGGGAGAGATAGGGATTTTTTTTCTCTCTCCCCATATGGCAACTTCTCTTTGTCCCTATTTAGCCCAGGCAGAGGGGGAATAATCCCCTTGAAATACAGCATTTAACACTATATAGTGAGTGATAATTACTGCTGTTCCAGAGGATTACCCCAGTGAGTTTTTTACAGTGGAGTGAAACTTCACAATATGGTTTGTACAGACTAGGATAAATGGTGTATTTTAAAAATGTGTTTATTAAAATGCTTTAACTAACATTTTAAATCCATTTGTGCTGGAAATGGCCCACCTTGATTATCATACACATTTTAAAGAGAGTGGTCACTTTGGATGGGCTATTACCAGCAGGAGAGTGAGTTTGGGTGGAGGGTGAGAAAACCTGGATTTGTGCTGGGAATGGGCCAACTTGATGATCACTTTAGATAAGCTATTACCAGCAGGAGAGTGGGGTGGGAGGAGGTATTGTTTCATGGTCTCTGTGTATATAATGTCTTCTGCAGTTTCCACGGTATGCATCCGATGAAGTGAGCTGTAGCTCCCGAAAGCTCATGCTCAAATAAATTGGTTAGTCTCTAAGGTGCCACAAGTACTCCTTTTCTTTTTTAGTAAAAAAAGTAGCATTTTATTTGTTTTCTGTGGAACTGAACTAGTGCAAAAACTATTCCTCTGGTTCACACACAGGATGGGAAGCTGTGTCTTCCTTCAAAATCATGCTCTGTTCATTGACAACTGATCCATGCTCTGTGGGATGGTATCTGTCAACACCACGGTCCACTCAAAGGCCCATTTACTGTTTTCTTAAAATATTCTAGAGCTTCATCCAGTCTGTGTCACTGCCAGAAATAAAAACCAGAACTTCAGACTCCCAGTCTGTGCTCTAACCACTATAAAAATGTTACTTCTATAAAGGTGAAATTTACTACTGTGCAGAGGGCCAGCACAATGCCAGTGCCCCACAAAATACCACTTAAATCCACAAAATAGGCTTTTGGTAGGAGTTAAGGAGGCATAGACCTTGTACTGGCCCTCTGCACAAGGGTGAATTTCACTTTAAGATTAGAATTTGGGCAGTTTTTGACAAAGTTGAAATTTGCTCTGGACAAATGAGTACTGCAAATCTGTTCAAGATCAGGTTTCATGTGCCTTAGAGCAGCCTCAGCTGTCTAGAAGCCACAGCCACATTGAACATACAGGCATTTACGACAAACACATACCCTCATTGCTTCCTGGATATGATCTTGTCGTACAAGCTCAGCTGACCGGTCCATGTACCACTTCAAACATCGGATCAGTTCTCTAGTAAGAGACACATTGACAGAAACATCAAGCAATTATCTGAAAGTAGTCAACCCTGAAACCTTCTGGGTTTTTTAAATGACTTGGCAGTTGTTTCCTTAAACAGCAAGAAATGCAATATGCTCTCTTGTTACACTCACTTTTAATAGTTAGGCATATTAGTCTAAATAACCAAGTTTACAGTAACAACATATACATTAATTTAAATGTAAAAGAAATTTCTGACACCAAAAAATAACTCTCCCTCCATAATTAACTCAGATGGCAAGAAATAAAGAATCAAAAAGGGGTTATAACAAATCACTTCAAACAAAGAAAATAATCAGTTTACAGAAAATAAAATACATGTAGTATTTCTTTTTGGCTAAGCAATCTGAGTAAGGGTCTTACAGATAAGCAATTTTCAGAAACTGTTTGAAATTGGAAAAGACCAACTTATGTAAAAACATAGAGAAAATACCTTCACCTAATTTCCTAAAGTGCACAAAACTGTTTAGAATGCCCTGAAGTATTACATATGCTTAAGAACAAGTTTGTTTAGACACCATCTCATCAGAAGAAAGTAGAAGTGCTAATAACATTTTCCTAAGATCAAAGATGACACTGATTATTAAAAATTGTGAATCTGTTTTCTCATCCTTCTGAACTTCACTGTGCTTTGTGATTCCCATACAGTTTCAATCTGTTTTAAAAGAACATTTTTAATGTAACCTATTTAAGATTTTTTTCAATACACTATAGCTTGAGTTCCCTATAATACCAGGGCCAAGAATGATGGAGCTGGAAGATTGCTGTGTTCACTTTATTTTGATCCAATTTGGGAGCCATTAAATTATGCACAAGAAGCAATCTGGAAGAAAGGTAAAATACAATCCTGTCTGATAATTGCTACTGCTTTCTAAATCTGACTCATGAAGTAACATTTCATTGTAATATATTGGAAAATAAGGCTCACCGCTGTTTTGAGTGTTAATGGAAATTAATTTTCTAATTCTCTGTGGAAATGAACATTCTGCCTTTAATCTCACAGAACAGAATAACTTGATCTAATCTGAATACTTGCCCTCTTCTTTGAAATTAGCCATAGGAAAAGGCATTAGAGAATAGGTGATTTGTCTCCCTAAATGGAGGCTATTGGTCTTATGTCAATGGATGCATTCCTGATAAGAAATGTAAGAATCATTTCCATGATCCCTGCTTAAGTTTCATGCAGGCCTCAAGTAGCCAGCATCCTTCTAGTATAGGAAGGGTGGATGCTCTGTGGGGCCTATCAACACAGCTTCTAATTAGTTGCTGCTGAGTGACATGAAGTGCTTCCTCACTTCACAGCATTCCGAACCCCTGCAGGCTAAGACTGGGACTAGGACCAGCATGACATTCAGCAGCTTTTCTCTGGGGTTAGATTTAGAAGTCATGCTACAAAATTCTTCTCCAGAATGTTTGCTTTTGAATACCAGATATACTCTGCTAGTGTAAAAGTTATAACTCTGGTGCCCATAACGCTCAAAAGTCTGAGCGTTACTGTACAAAGTGATGACAAAACTCAACCTACTTGTAAGCCAGTGCTCCTGCAAAGTGTTTCTGAATGTACATATCCATAACAGGTCGGAAATGGAAATATTTGCTGTCACGCAGCAGATTTATGATGAACACCTGCGGAAGATAGAGAAGGGAACCCATAACAGAGCAAACTGCACACGTCACCAGGGATTAAATGAACAAGCTAAACAGGCTAAGAAACAGTTAGATGATGGGTTTTTTTCATATGCAGACAATGGAAATGCTCCTCTTTGACTTATTGTTTGCCCCTCCCATACTGATGGATGTAATCCTTCTCTCCTCATATTTTGGCTATGGTTATCCTACTCCTTGCACCCAATAAAATTACAGGGGTAGAACCTCCACTGAATCTCTCAGACATTTTAAGGTAATAAGATACTAGCAATAAGGCATGGTGGTAAGGTAATAAGAGCATGGGAAATACTGACCACCAGGGAAAGAAAAGTACTCATCTAATGGGAGTGGGGCTACTTACCAAAGACTGAAAGACCAACAGGCCATACTTTTCTGTATTGTCATCCAAAATCACAAACAAAGTGTCTAGAATGTCTTGCAGGAACTGAAATGGCAGGAAGAGACAGAGAATTTAAATCTACAAATCCTGCTTACATTCAATAGCACTGCTTTTATTCTCAGATGTGACATACTTTCCTATGCCTTTACCACCATTCTGCAAGAACAGACCACTTTAAGATTCACCCATAGTAGGTGTGAGAAAAATTACTTATTGCCAAGAATGTCTCCTGTCCTTTTACAAAGAACAATTATAAAAGAAAATGACAAACACAAAAATTATTTTATTATAAACTATATTCATTTAATTTACTAGTGTTTGCCTTTCACTGTCTCTGGGCAGATCAACAGTATTGCCTAAGACTGACAAAACCGTTCACTGTTCTGCAGTCCTAAAAGCATGTGAGATAGCATTCCACATCTGATACAAGCACATCCACTGATTCACAGTAAATAGTAAGTGTTTCAAGACATGGTTAGTACAAAACAGTTGTATTTTACGGGACAGAGATTCAGGGTGGTTGTTGTTGTTTTTATCAAGTATCTGTGCAACAATTTAGCTATACAATGCCAGCCCCTTTTGTCCATGACATGGCAGGCTGCTCAGTGTGCTGATCTCCCACTGCTTTCCATTTCAATAAATAGGACCCACTGGAGAAGAAGATAGCGAAGTGACAGTGCTATAGGCGAAGCTGATAGCTGGCATTGTAGGCTAGCTTTGTGCAATCTATTCCATCAGATTCTTTGATGTGGAAAAACAAGAAAAAAAACCCATAATGATTTATGAAGTCCCCCCCAAAAGATACAGCTGTCACTGAATGGCAGTGAATTCCAGAAGGGAGTCAGTCAGCACTTCACTTGGAATATGTTAAGTCCACATATTTTTTAAGATTTCCTAGAGAAAAATTCTCCCTGTGCAGACCCTAGCTGTATTGCACTGAAGACAAAATTTATTCTCAAAATTATGGAATTTTGTGAAGAAGTCAAATATGGACATGAAGGAGTAGGCTTGTTTTGCTCATAATCATGTAAGGCAACATTCAATACGTAGCATTATTCAAAAATGAGTACTATTAGAAGTGGGCAGGTGTTTTGGGTTCACTATTCCAGAGGCCAAACACACCTCCTTCCAATTCTTAAATTCTGCAAAATAAATTGCAGGGAGGGCTCTCTGCATTTCTGGAACTAGTAGAAGGGACAGCCACTGTCTTCATATCTAGCATGGATGTGTCCTTCTCCAGGCTCACAAATGTGTGAATGTATTCTGAAATATCATCTTTGATCTGGAGAAGCCTGGGGCATGTAAGATAACAGAAGAGTTGGAACTCAGCACAATAGAGATTCCCATACAGAACAAAAACAAATTTTGGCAAGGAAAACAAAACCTTTTTCATTTTTTTGCAAAATGAAATTGTGTCTAAACATCTATGTTTGGACTGAAAAGGCCAGGTTTTCAATTTGGGGTTTCTCTCTCTCTCTCCTGAACCTCGCAAATGTTCTTGTTAAAAACTTCATCAAAATACATACATATCTGTGAAACATTTCAGTTTTGGTGAAACAGCTTACTTTGATGAAAAAACATTTTGTCAGAAATGTTCTGACCAGCTCTTATTTTGAGGCCTAAGGAGAGATTTAGAAAAGCGGAGAGAGATAAAGAAGGCCTCCTGTAGATTGTTAAGAAGCAGTTGGAGTCATGGTAAGGGAGAATGATCTACTTGCTCTGAAGGGAAGGATCTGGGCAAGACATAGAAGAAAAGAAACCTAAAAAGTTGAAATAAATTTGATTAGCCATCTGGCATTTTCTGAGCCTATTCAGGTCCAAATGCTAAAATTTTTGAGGTTTGTCAGTTATAACTAATAGCCACCAGGTTGTTGCTTTGTGAACAAGCAGAGCTGCATATTTAGCTCAGAAATTAACTCGTCAACTGGAGTTTCAGTTCCATCATTGCCTCCACGCAACTAATGAATTTTTGAGTATTCTTGTTTATTTAGGAAGGGAGTTCAGAGACAGCCACCTTTTCAATATTTCCACACAAAAAACATGGTTAATTTAGAGGTAAGGTTGCTTAACTGTACTTTCTCATAACAATGCAAACATTAAAAAACAAGGAAATCATAAGTTAAGGCAACATTCACCCCAAACACAATAATGGCCAGAGACCTCTTTTACAATTACAGACAGGAATCAAGTTTGTACCCATTCATCCTGAACACACAGGCTGCAGACCCCCAGCAGACTAGACCTGAGAGTTCTCCCATAGCTCCTACAGGCCAGAATGATACGTGCATGTTATATAATCAGATAACAAAAGACCATCCGGGTTATTTTAATTCATAGACATAACAAGGAAGATTTCCTCTCTTTCATGGTGCAGGAGTAAGAGGGGATAAGGAGGGGTTAATTTCCGGTACAGAAACTGGAGTGCTTCGAGATGTTTTGCCCCTACAGGTGCACACGGGCCCATGAGCTTTTGATCAGAGATTTTTCATCCGCAGTATCTGTGGGTCCCACCTGCACCATATGCATAGTCATGGTTTGGACTGAGGGAATATAGGAAGGGGCACAAATCAATAAATCAATGACGAGTTAATGATGGAATTATTGCTGCTAAGGATACAATCCTGAATCTCTGCATTTTTTTGTAAGTGTTCAGAGTCCAGGTTCAGTCTCCATCCCCCTTTTCTCTTGGGAACCAGGAAGTAACTGGAGTAGAAGCCTTTTTAGGTGAAACTATGAGGAACCAGTTCAATTGCCCCCCAGCAGCAGGAAAGATTCTACCTCTTGCCCAGGAGACCCTTGTGGGAAGAGTCCCTCAAAAGGGACGAGGAAGAGGGAATGGGGCTGAACTGGATGGTGTAACCCGACTATAATAATTTAAGTAACCATCTGTCTGATCTGATGTATTCTGGGAGAGATGTACATCACAGAGTGGCAATTGGGCAGGGTGGTGCACCACAAGATTCATAGTGAGGTGATTTGTTACCCTTGACCAAATGGTCAAAATGAACAAGAGGTTGTACCAGCAGCATCGAGAGAGACCTGCAAAGAAGCTTTGATATCATCTGGCCTTTGGAGATGATGGTTTTAAACTGGTTCTTCTGGTCCTGAGGCAAGTGATCAATAAAATGAGAGAATTTCCTATGATGCGCGTAGTCATATTTTGACAAGGCATGATAGTTGGCAATCCTGAATTGCAGTTCAACAAAAGAGTAACTCTTGCAGCCAAGGAGGTCCAGGTGCTTAAGATCCTCGTCATGAGGAGCTGATTTGAACAGCTCCTGTTTCTCTCATTAACCACGTTGATCACCAGAGAGTTTGGGCAGAGGTGGGAGAAAAAGGGACTCTGAACCCTTGGCCAGCACATAGTACTTTTTGCCAGCACTCCTGCTTGTAGGTAGATGGTAGCCAGTGTTTTTCAAATGGCCATGGTTATCCTGCCTGGAGGAGAAGTATGCAAGACATGCTGGGGTTCCTGTATTCTCTCTAGGGGAATCTGTAAACTCTCAGTCACCCTCTTTATTAGCTCTTGAAAGACTTTCAAATCAACCATGTAGGATGGGGGAAAGGAGCATAACTGCATCTCTGGAGGAAAAGGATTTATTGGAAGGTAATGCCTCTTCTGCCCTTGGCTCTTGTTCTTTCAAAAGGTCTTCCTGGAGAATAGGGCCCCAGTGCCTGCTTCTCTTGATAGGTCCTCTTCTGTGAGGGCATTCTATAAAATTAGTCAGCATAAGGAGCCCCAGGGCTCCAGAAAGCCCAATGTGGAGGTGTATAAGGAAAGGGGAAGGGAGAGTAAGGGTGCTCTTGCCCACATTGGCAGGTTGGAAGTTGGCTAGTTCCAGGGGTCTTGTCCTTATGGTACACTGCTGGAGAGGGAGGTTGGAATGGAAATGTGGTGGAATCCTGGACAGAAATGTCTGAGTCCAAGGAGGTGTTGCCCCCCTGTATCTTACGGAGGAACTAGGAGTGTTGGTACTGTTAGCCATGTCAGTACTGGTGGTTGTGTTGGTACTGGATTCTGAGTTGGAACCAGTGGCTGACTTTTAGTGTGGAGGTGCACAGAAGCTGGGCAGTATGTCAGGACAGGTGGGTGCACTGGTACCAGTAGGAAATCCCCGTGTACCTCTCAGTACAGCGGATTCAGGCTGTGACTCAGAGAACCTCATGATAGAGGAAACTGGTTGGTATCAGCAATTCTGGACACTGCTCCTCAAGCTGAAGTGAGTTGAGAGGTATTGGATACAGTATGGATGGGTGGTCCATATGCTCCTTATGCACAAAGACTGGATTGGGGTTGGTGTCATTGGGTTTGGAGGGCTCCAAGGGTACTGACAATCGTGCTGAACAGAGCTGTTGGTCGTAAGACTTCTCAGTATGTGTGCTGGAAGTCTTGTTCATGAGTACCGACATCTTGATACCAGAGGAGGTAGAAGCCTAGTTGTACCCATACTGCCTTCTCAATCCCTGGCCTTTGGGGTGACTTTCCCCTTCTTTTAGAAGCCACATATGGGGATAGTGATATCTGTTCCTTTTAGAGGGCTTTGAACGCTCTGAAACTACCCTTTCTCTGCTCACCGGAGCCAAAGTCATCACCGGAATGCTCTGAGAGGTTGATGCCAACGTATGCAGGGGGAGTCAGACCCTGAAGTGATGGTGGCTCTCAAGGACTGCTCCATAAGCAGTAACTTCAGTCTGTCCTCCCTCAGCTTCCTGGATCTGCTCCTGAAGCCAGAGCAGACCTTACACTTTGATAGGATGTGGGACTCTCTGAGGCAGCCATAATGCCCGTTGCCAAGGGGAAGGACCCGTGGCAGATCTGGCAGGGTTTAAAACCCAGGTTTTTGGGCATAGCTCAAGGAGGGAGGCTGCAGAAAAAGGACGTCAAAGGGCAGAGGCCCTTGCTGTGAAAAACAAGGGTGGGGGAACCTCCAAAAGCACAGCTTGTACCAAGAAGAAACAAAAATAATAAAATAAATGGTCAGCTAGGTATGCTAAGCTAGCAGACACCACAATGCTCCCTCTCCAGCTACAGGTGGTTGAAAAGGAACTGCAGCTGCAGGGGTCTGCTCCTCGCTAATATACCATTGGTCCAGAGCACAAGGATGTGTAGGGAGCAGGCACAGACATGTGGACACTGCTAGTGAAAAATCTCTGATAAAAAGTGTCTGGATGTGTGCCCACGTAAAGTGGAGCCCCTTTGGGACAATAACTCCAAGAAGAAGCTGTAGTTGGCAGGGATAATGTCGATTTACTGAGTGTTTCTGGAGTTTAGGATTTTTGAATTACAGTTTTTTAAATTCCCAGCTTCCATTCATTTATTTTCTTAAACTGGTCTAAATTCAAATATATTAAATAACTGCAACATTCTAATGCTGTTATAGATTAATGCGTAATGTTCAACGTTATCTCAATCTTTAACTTTTTTGGTGAAGGAATAAAGCAGAAACATGACTTTTCCTTATCTACACACTGAAAATATATATACACAAAACCCTGAGCCCCCTAAAAATACCAGGTACATAACATATCAGATAACAGTCATATTATCTGGGCTTTAAAAATTGACATCAGAGAGTCAGTCACAGGAAGGCCTCTTCTGGTTTGCTCCCTCGAAGACACCGTTATCATAAAAAATAATTTTCCCATCAGTAAGACTGACCATTAGTTGACTCAGTACCTTAACAATTTCCTCGCCATTGACATGCCTCAGTCTTCCTAGGATATCCATTACACGGTCTGGGTAAGCCTTCCATTTTAAGAGGGCAAGCAAGTCCACTGCAAAATGACACAAGAAAGCAACATGCACTCTGATATACTGTAAAGCACAAGGACACTGAAGAATGTCTAGTACAGGCACTACATGGCTAGGTTACTAAAGTTCAGAATCAGTATGACAACAATAGAAGGCCAGACTGGCCACTAAAAGAAAGAAAGAAATGTTTCAGTTTCCACTGCACGTTTAGATCTTGTCTGTGGTCTCACTCCTGCTTTTCACGCAATATAATGAAAGACTGAAACATGGCATAAGTTTAAGTGAAGCCTCTAAAATACTAACAACAGTTCAAGAATCCTTCCCATAACAAAAGCTTGTGCGTTAGAAACACACTCAGAACCAGTCAAAATTTATAAACAAGTAAGGTAGGAAGAAAGTCACTCCCAAGATGTGATAGAGATTGAAGAGGCGATACTTGTTCCATGAATTATTCCTCACCTCAAAGAGAAAACCCAAGGAGTAAACCTCAGAAACATATCATACATTATTGCCAAAGAAATGAATGGTGTTTAAATAGTAAAGGTTGTATCTCTCCCCATTTTGTCTTGATGTTGCATTGTGGGCAGTCACATTTCACCCTTTGGTGTCTCTGAGGACTTGAAGTAAGCAACATCAAGCCTTGATCACAGAAACCTTCAATATAAAGCCCAACAGAGCTAATTTAGAATTGAGTAAACATGCTAACTTTGAATTTATTATTCTCATGAGTTTAATCAGAATTAACAATGTTTTATCCTAGCCTTTGTGCCTCTATTTACAGAAATATACATACTATCTCTTTTACAAGTTAGTATGCTCATTTCCTTAAAAAACCCTGTCTCTACTCATTCCAGAAGCAATGAAGCTTAGTAAATATAAGCACAGCTAACATTAAACCATAGAAAAAAGGAACATTATATTGAAAAAACAGAACATGTTTCAATGGCCTTGTTTTCAGAAGGGACAGTTATGGTACCGTTCTGGGTGAGTTTGGTGGAGGAGAGCTGGGTCGAGATCGAGAAGGTCTCTTTAGTACTACGCTGGAAAATGAGGCTAGAAGGGATGTTAGGGCAGCCGTTGTAGTCCTCTTTGCAGCAGGGCAGCCCCAGGTACAGAGCATGATTATTAAATGTGCTGTTCTCATCACACTGCAGATACAGAAAGGAAACTAAATTTTACCCAGTTGATTTACTTTATTCCACACATTCATGCCTTGCTAGCAAGTGATTAACAATACTCTGAATTATTATTTGTATTATCATAGCACCTAGGAGACCTAGTCATAGATCAGAATCCCATTGTACGATCCTCTGAGTGCACAGAAAATCTATACACAGAAACCTATGCTTGCCATCATCAGGTACACTACATTAAGTCATCTGTGCTTAAGAAAATGTGGTCTCCCACCCACAGATCCCTTCAGAACTTTTAAGGACCTTTCAGATACACTACATATATCTGTTTGAGAGCTATATCTATACACTGAAGGAAAAAACTAGGGTAACCTGGTAAGGACAAAATTACTCTGCTAGAGTATTGTCGAGCAGGATTATGGTGTCTCACATTACTAGTCTAGTCCATAACAGCATGTTTTCAGAGCATAAAAGCGTATAGTAATAACATACCCTCATAGCATTCGTGGGTGGTTATGAATACTAGTGAGACTGAATTTAAAACCAGAGAGGAGTCACAAAAATCATAATAATTTGAGGGGGAAAATCAATTGTACCTGAAAAATGAAACCCATCTATAACAAGTCCTATAATTTAGGATCTGTTATAAATAGGTTCAGAATCCTGTCACTATTTCCACATGTAATGAAAAACCGCATTATCAGAAATGCAATGACGTTTACTCAAATGTATCTATACAGAAGTAGGGATAAATAGGTGGCAGGTCTGCAGTGCAGCATTAGAAGAGTTGTGAGCTATGGTACCTTATAAACATAAAGCTCATGGATATCATCTGATAGGGTGGTGCCATCATCCCTCATCAGAGGAGTAAATGCAAAGCCAAAGAGCTTTTTTTCTCCTTTGTCTTTAGCTGCAACAGGAAATAAAGAACATAGAGAAACATTTCTGCATATGCTGCAAGTGTATGTGTGTATAATTTTTTCCCCTCACTCTCTATACTTCACACTCACTCCTTAGCCTCTCTGTATTTCTAACAACCAATGCACAAAGCCACATAAGGATTCATTTTTATATCTATCTGTAGATTAGAGATACACACACACACAGTACTAGGTCTCAGTTTATGCTATTGACCACATAATTAGTCTCTACAAATGTAAATCAGACAAGCCTTTATCAAGATTGTGCTGACCGGAGTAAATCATATGCACAACTTGTAAAGACAATATGTCAAACAACACAGTAAGAAAACAACATGGGAGTCTGTTGTACTGAACTGCATGTTCTAATCTAGACCCTCTTTTTCTATTCTCTAACAACTCATGATAGCACCAGGATTCTTAACATTGTACTTATTGTACTTTAAGGTTCCCTCTTCCAGTGACATGGCATTCTAATCCTCTACTTGTAATGGAAAGAAATCAACATTTTTAGATTTGTTTTGGACAAATGATTATGTTGCACTCACTGGAGCAATGCCTGAACTCAAAGCGAAGGTGAGACCCACGAAACCTGTCAATGGGGATGGGTAGCTTGATAATTTCCCCCCAACGAGGGCTGTTACTGTGGTAGAGGACAAAAGAGTGGTATGCACTTCTGTTTGGCTCTCCTGAGCCTAAACTGATACAGTCCTGGAACAAAACACAAAAGAAAGAATGAAAGACATCACCTCTACTACACAAGTAGGTTTCAGAGTAGCAGCCATGTTAGTCTGTATTCGCAAAAAGAAAAGGAGTACTTGTGACACCTTAGAGACTAACAAATTTTAAGGTGCCACAAGTACTCCTTTTCTTTTTGTGAATACAGACTAACACGACTGCTACTCTGAAACCTGTCATTATGCAAGGCACTGAATTTAGCCGTATGGAGTGGAAAAAATTTGTTAGTTTCTAAGGTGCCACAAGTACTCCTTTTCTTTTTACACAAGTAGGGTGACCAGATGTCCCGATTTTTTAGGGACAGTCCCAATTTGGAGGGCTTTTTCTTATATAGGCACCTATTACCTCTCACCCTCGTCCTGATTTTTTACACTAGCTATCTGGACACCATATACACAAGTCATTTTATTACACTGAGAGAGCCTCATGCTGAGGTTACTCAGGTTAGTCTCTTTTTTTCTCTGTATAATTCATCCCCTTCTGCAAACACAAGGACAGAGATAGGAGGAGAATCCTGGATGCAAAGGAATCTGAAGTTTTTTGAAGGGAGATTTTTAGATGGTGCTTTGGATCAGAGGTACAGCTCTGGGACCTGTGTCTCAAGCAGCATTCAAACAGGAGTTGTTTGCTTTCCTTTTTCCTCAGATTATTATTATTAAGTTTTACCTTTGTATCAAGTAAGTGCAGGATATATATTAACAAACGGATCAGAAGGAAAAAATGGGAAGTAACAGATAATTACTCACTTGTAATTAGGCTTCTCTGTAAACATCATTTGGCTAGATTCCTACTTTTGGGTCTCAGCTCATTAATGTAATACAGCGAAGAACTCTCTGAGCTCTCAATTTTTTTTAGCTCTTTGAAGCACTGGCCATACAGCCCTGTTCTGAGATCAAATGCCAGTGCCCCAGTGCCCTTAGATAGAACATTTTATTTCATGTTACTGAGTAATGGCAAGCAAAGAACACACAGGTTAATAATTACCACCTAAAGATACCAGAGTGGATTCCCACTCTTGGAGACCAAAAAACTCCAGGGTAGTCTTGACTAATCTATACATTCTCAGCACATGGAGGAACAAAAACTGTACAAGTCAATTTAATTAAGGAGTATCATGGAAACTTCCTGAATCCCCCATTCACAACAGGAGGTAGGACAGTTGGGAGAAATAGTGAGCAGGTGACAAACAGCAGGAGAAAGGGTGTCTACACTATGAAATTAGGTCGAATTTATAGAAGTTGATTTTTTAGAAAGCAATTTTATTCAGTTGATTGTGTGTGTCCCCACTAAGCGCATTAAGTTGGTGGAGTGCGTCCACAGTACCGAGGCTAGCGTTGACTTTCGGAGCGTTGCACTGTGGGTAGCTTTCCCGCAGTCTCCGCCGCCCATTGGAATTCTGGGTTAAGCTCCCAGTGCCTGATGGGGCAAAAACATTGTCGCGGGTGGTTTTGGGCACATGTCGTCAGTCGCCCCTCCCTCCAGGAAAGCAACGGCAGACAATCGTTTCGAGCTTTTTTTCCGTGCGGGTGCCATACTGCTTTCAGCAGACAGTGCAGTAGGACTGCTAACCGTTGTCATCGAACCACCGCTTCCGCTGCCACTCTGCTCTCCTGATGCTATGAATCCACCTCGCAGGTCCTCTATATGACCATCGTCATCCACTGCTTCCGCTGCCACTCTGCTCTCCTGGTGGTCTCACAGGGCCGCTTCCACTGCAACTCTGCTCGGCTACTCTTGTCTCTCCATACCACGGCAAGCGTGCAGCCCACTCAGCTGTTGTGTCCTGGCAGCAGATGGTGCAGTAGGTCTGCAAAACTGGTCATCCAACCATCGCTTCCCCTGCAACTCTGCTCAGCTGCTCTCCTGCAGACCCCATACCATGGCAAGCATGAAGCCCGCTCAGATCACTGTGGCAGTTATGAGCTTTGTAAACACCTCATGCATTATCATGCAGTATATGCAGAACCAGAACCTGCAAAAGCAGGCGAGGAGGCAATGGCAGCGCAGTGACGAAAGCAATGAGGACATGGACACAGACTTCTCTCAAAGCACGGGCCCTGGCAATTTGGCCATCCTGGTGGCAATGGGGCAGGCTCATGCCATGGAATGCCGATTCTGGGCACAGGAAACAAGCACAGACTGGTGGGACCGCACAGTGTTACAGGTCTGGAATGATTCCCAGTGGCTGCGAAACTTTCGCTTGCGTAAGGGCACTTTCATGGAACCTTGTGACTTGCTTTCCCCTGCCCTGAAGCACATGAATACCAAGATGAGAGCAGCCCTCAGAGTTCACAAGCGAGTGGCGATAGCCCTCTGGAAGCTTGCAAAGCCAGACAGCTACCGGTCAGTCGGGAATCAATTTGGAGTGGGCAAATCTACTGTGGGGGCTGCTGTGATCCAAGTAGCCAACGCAATCACTGAGTTGCTGCTATCAATGGTAGTGACTCTGGGAAATGTGCAGGTCATAGTGGATGGCTTTGCTGCAACGGGATTCCCTAACTGTGGTGGGGCAATAGACAGAACACATATCCCTATCTTAGGACCGGAGTACCAAGGCAGCCAGTACATAAAACTGAAAGAGGTACTTTTCAATGGTGCTACAAGCACTGGTGGATCACAAGGGACGTTTCACCAACATCAACGTAGGATGGCCAGGAAAGGTACATGCTGCTCGCATCTTCAGGAACTCTGGTCTGTATGAACAGCTGCAGCAAGGGACTTACTTCCCAGACCAGAAAATAACTGTTGGGGATGTTGAAATGCCTACAGTTATCCTTGGGGACCCAGCCTACCCCTTAATGCCATGACTCATGAAGCCATACACAGGCACCCTGGACAGTAGTCAGGAGCTGTTCAACTATAGGCTGAGCAAGTGCAGAATGGTGGTAGAATGTGCATTTGGATGTTTAAAAGCGCACTGGCGCAGTTTACTGACTCGGTTAGACCTCAGCGAAACCAATATTTCCATTGTTATTACTGCTTGCTGTGTGCTTCACAATATCTGTGAGAGTAAGGGGGAGACGTTTATGGCGGGGTGGGAAGTTGAGGCAAATCGTCTGGCTGCTGATTACACGCAGCCAGACACCAGGGTGGCTAGAAGAGCACAGCAGGGTGCGCTGCGCATCACAGAAGCTTTGAAAACCAGTTTCATGGCTGACCAGGCTACGGTGTGACAGTTCTGTTTGTTTCTCCTTGATGAAAACCCGCCCCCTTGGTTCACTCTACTTCCCTGTAAGCCAACCGCCCTCCCGTACCCCCTTCGATCACCACTTGCGGAGGCAATAAAGTTATTGTTGTTTCACATTCATACATTCTTTATTAATTCATCACACAAATAGGGGGATAACTGCCAAGGTAGCCCGGGAAGGGTGGAGGAGGAGGAAAGCACCAGGTGGGGTCGGGGAGGAGGGAAGAACAAGGCCACACTGCATTTCAAAACTTATTGAATGCCAGCCTTCTGTTGCTTGGCCAGTTCTCTGGGGTGGAGTGGTTGGGTGCCCAGAGCAACCCCCCCCCCCGCGCGTTCTTGGGCGTCTGGGTGAGGAGGCTATGGAACTTGGAGAGGAGGGCGGTTGGTTACACAGGGGCTGCAGTGGCGGTCTGTGCCTTTCCTGCACCTCAACCATTCACGAGAGCAGATCCGTTTGATCCTCCAGTAGCCTCAGCATTGCATCCTGCCTCCTTTCATCATGCTGCCGCCACCTTTCCTCTTGATCCCACCACCTCTCCTGTTGCTCCCAAACTTGTCCTCACGTTCATTTTGTGCTTTCCTGGACTCTGCCATTGTCTGCCTCCAGGCATTCTGCTGTGCTCTTTCAGTTTGGGTGGACTGCATGAGCTCAGAGAACATTTCATCGCGAGTGCGTTTTTTTCACCTTCTTATCTGCGCTAGCCTCTGGGACAGAGATGCTAGTCGCAGCTTTGAAACATTTGCAGCTGCGGGAGGAAAAAAGGGAGATTAAAATTGAAAAAGACACATTGGCCATTTAAAAGGAGAGGCTGATGTTTTCAGGTTAACGTGCAGCACAAACCCAACTAACCCCCCCACCCAATTCTTTGGGATGATCGCTTCACCCCTTCCCCCACCACATGGCTAACAGCGGGGATGATTTCTTTTCAGCCACAGGCAAACAGCCCAGCTGCAATAGCCACCTCTGAATGTCCCCTTAATAAAATTCCCCTATTTCAACCAGGTGACCATGAATGATACCACTCTCCTGAGGATAACACAGAGAGATAAAGAATGGATGTTGCTTGAATGCCAGCAAACAGCGGGACCACATGCTGCCATGCTTTCTTATGCAATGATTCCAGACTATGTGCTATTGGCCTGCCGTGGTAAAGTGTCCTACCATGGAGGACGCAATAAGGCTGCCCTCCCCAGAAACCTTTTACAAAGGCTTTGGGAGTACCTCCAGGGCAGCTTCATTGAGATGTCCCTGGAGGATTTCCGCTCCATCCCCAGACACGTTGACAGACTTTTCCAGTAGCTGTACTGGCTGTGAATGCATCCCAAGTCTTCAAGGCAAATTAATAATTAAACATGCTTGCTTTTAAACTGTGTATTATATTTACAAAGGTACACTCACCAGAGGTGCCTTCTCCACCTTCAAGGTCCAGGAGCCCAGGTTGGGAGGGTACTGTCTCCAGGGCGATAAACAGTTCCTGGCTGTCAGGGAGAATGGTTTCTCCGCTTGCCTGGTGTGTGCTATCTTCAACCTCCCCCTCCTCATCATCTTCGTCGTCCCCAAAATCCTCATCCCTGTTGAGTGAGACTCCCTTGCAGGAGGCCACGTACAGGTGTCGGGTAGTTATAGGGGCACCCCCTAGAATTGCATGCAGCTCATCATAGAAGCGGCATGTCTGGGGCTCTGACCCCAAATGGGCATTTGCCTCCTGAGTTTTTTGGTAGGCTTTCCTGAGCTCCTTAAGTCTTTTGGAATGGAGTTCTGATAACATGGATTTGTCTCCCC